AATGTTTATCTTTTCTGTCAGACCTAGTTCAGAAGCTGTCGTCTTCAGGAGCTCCAGGTGAACAACGCGTACGCCATCCTGGTGTAATTCTCAAGTTTGTAGTAAACTGAACCTCCAAACCAATGAGAAACATTTCCTTTGCCAACCTAAAACTTAAAGCCTAAGTTAAGTCCATAATATACATTCCTTCCTTCCTTCTCAAACCCCCCACTTAAAAAAACAACACTAAAGTCTTATATCTTTATTTTCAAGCATATATATGGTGTATATATGTGTATATATGTATATACACCATATATATGCTTGAAAATATACATATATATGTAAAAACATATACATATACATATATATATATATATATCTCACAAAACCAATGACATTGGTATTACACTTGCCTGCATAAATTATGTACACTTCTCTTCTTTAAAAGTGATTCCCATCTTTCCCAAAGAGATAAAAGACAAGCTAGTCCTCAGCAGGCTTATGAGTGGTCTGCATTGCTTTCCCCTCCAAACAGCTGCAAGGTAACAGAAGCCTTAGAAGCCTATCTGCAATCTAACTCTCACCCGAGCCAGGATGGGGATGCCTTGACTAACAGGACTATTCAGCCAGAAAATGAGCACCTGTAGTTGTCTGAGTGGTGCCCTTCAGTGGCAGGTGCTTATGCCAAATTTCATCTGAGGCCCTTTGGGTACCTGCCTTGGGTTCTGCAGGAGCCAAGCAGCTGAAGAAGCCTCAAAACCAAACTGCTAATGTGGAAAGAGGGCCTGCTCCCAGTATGGTCCCCCTATACTTCTCCTTTCTGCTTCTTAAGGGCTCAAAGACCAGACCAAAATGTCCACTGCTGTAATGGCAGGGTCATTTAGCTGCTCTGACATCGACGCTTTATGCTTAATTTCTATCACTGCTTTTATAGGACCCTCCTCCACCAGATGTTTCTGGTGAGAGAAGGGCAGAAGAAAAGTGGGGTTCTCTTGTGGCTGCCATATGCATATGAACATGTATAAAAAAGTGGTCAAACCCAGATGAGGGTCCCGCTTCCAATATATGTACAATAATTTAATCAGTTGTATACATTTAATACCTAAAAAATTAATTCACGATCAAAGTCCTTCATGCATTTTATGAGGAAGTTCTGGATTCAAATGATGGTCAACCATAAAGATTTTTGCCTGGGAAGATGATAGCATTTTCTGCCATAGCATCATCAGTGCCTATGGTTCACACTTCCTTAAATTTTTAGTTTCTTTGTGGTCTCAAGTCTTTTTTTCAGCAGCTCCCCAATTTCCAGAAGTGAGTGCAGATAACTGCTTTGCACCTTCCCTTGCACAGTCTTTGAAAACTTTCTCTCTTCCTAAAAAGGAGACAAGAATTAGTGGTCCTGCTCAGAAAGCATTCCCCCAGATAACAGCTCCTCAGCTATAAATTAAAATTACCATTACCTTTGTCTGACTGCAAACTCCATCAGAATAGTGTCATTTTCAATTTCATAAAATGCAAAGGCTAAAGCTCATTACAGATGTATATTTTTCCATCTGATTTTTCACTGAGACATTCTTTATTTCAAGTAGCCTTTGTCATTAGTTATATGAAGTCAAAAAAACGGACATTTCTAATGAGAAGCTTCCATCAACAAAAGTAGAAAATTGTTACTAGTTTGGACACAAAATCACTATTTTGTTATGAGATATATATACAAGGTGTAAAAAGTGAGATTTCTGATTATTAATTTCATCAGAAAAATGTAGAAATTTTATTATTATTATTATTATTATTATTTTAATCCTAACCCGAGGACATGCTTAGAGAGAAGAAGAGAGGGAGAGGAAGAGAGGGAGAGTTATGCTTATGTAAATACAGGCATCAAGTTTAACAGTATCATCATTTTTAGTTATAATCAACAAGTCTCTCTCCATATTGAAAAGTCCCTGGGTTCTAGGGGCCAAATAACTAAAAAATGAGCAAAGCTTTTCTCAGCCTACTCAGATGTGTGGGTTAAATATTTGCTGCTCATTTGACTTGTGGTAGAGAATATAAAAAACAAAGGGGATGGAGTATTCAAACACAGAAAGGAGGTTGACTAAGAACTGGTTAGGTTTACATGAAATTGGCAGTGTTCCAAAGCCTAGAAGAAACCAGGGAAGCACATCTTATGACCCAACAATCTACTATTTGAGATTTAATCTACCTCAGAAACACAAATGCGCATAAGAAAGTATGTACAAATATACACTGAGTGGCCAGATTATTATGACCACCTGACGTTTGTAGGCAAATTAGCTATAATTTCGTGCTGAAGTTGCTAGAGGGCCAGACCATTATAAATAGGGAAGCAGGTTGTTTACCATGACAGAAGTGATTTTTTTCTGAAGATATGGGTAAACAACGCAATTTAACAGCCTTTGAACGTGGGATATATTTGAATGTGAGTGGCTAGATTATTATGACCACCCCATCAGTACTTCGTTGGGCCACCTTTTGCCTTCAATACTGCAACGATTCTTCTTGGCACTGACTCCACGAGATGTTGAAAGGTGATGCGAGGAATCTGACACCATGCCTGATGAATAGCACTGTCCAGTTCTGTGGGATTTGATGGTTGTGGAACCAGCTGCCTGATGGCTCTTTTAACTTCATCCCACAAATGCTCAACTGGATTGAGATCTGGTGATTGTGGGGGCCACCTAACAAGGTAAAGTCTCCCTCGTGTTCTTGAAACGACTCCTGCACAATACGAGCACCGTGGCATGGCGCATTGTCTTGTTGGAAGAAGCCATCTCCATTGGGATACGCCATCAACACGATAGGATGAACTTGATCAGCAACGATACTTAGGTATGTTGTGCTATTCAGACATTGTTCCACACGAACCAAAGGGCCTAAATCATGCCCCAAACCATAACACTACCCCCACCAGCTTGAAGGGTTGTACTCATGCATGTGGGTTGCATGCTTTCATGCTGTTTCGGCCAAATTCTCCCCTGCCATCTGCATGATGCAACTGGAAACGTGATTCATCGGAACACATGACTTTTTTCCAATGTTCGATTGTCCAATCCTTGTGTTCCTGTGCGAATTGGAGACATTTTATCTTGGTAACTGCAGACAGCAAAGATGTTTGAACAGGCCTTCGGCTTCCATATCCCATACGATGCAGTGTATGGCTAATTTGCCTACAAACGTCAGGTGGTCATAATAATCTGTACACTCATAATAATATATATCCCACGTTCAAAGGCTGTTAAATCGGGTTGTTTACCCATATCTTCAGGAAAAAAAAATCACTTCTACTGTCATGGTAAACAACCTGCTTCCCTATTTATAATGGTCTGGCCCTCTAGCAACTTCAGTGTAAAATTATAGCTAATTTGCCTACAATTGTCAGGTGGTCATAATAATCTGGCCACTCAGTGTATTTCATTCAGTACTGTATGTAAAAGTCAATTATAGAAATAAGCTGAAATAGCCAGTAGCTGTGGTGCATTCATATTTTGAATACTAAACAGCTGTTTAGAACAAGATTGGCCTATATGCATTAGCCTGAACAGATCTCATGAATATAAGATTAAATGAAAAAAAGCCCAGCTTCAGAATAAAATAGAGTACCATTTATTTTGAAAACCTAACAGATAGTAGAGTACCTTATAAGTTTATATTAAAACCAAATGGTTTTAAAATGATACATATAATACTGTGTATTTTCTCTATGAATATAAATGAAAGAAGAAGAAAAAAAGACGATCTTGGAACGTAACCAGTTTCAGTGGATACCCCTAGGAAGGAGGAAAGGGGACCAGGACTGGCAGTGGTAGTCCATAGGACTTCTAGATAATGTTTCTAGTTTAGAAAGGAAGTTGGGGGGAGGGGGGGAGGAAAGAAGTAACCTAAAGGAAACTGAAGATTTTTTTTTTTTAAACTCAAAAGACAAGTACCCAACACTATATGGATCCTATATTTGGTGGCTGGTGCTGCTCAGTAATGTAGAATAATTTTAACAAAAGTAAGTAATAAAAGGTCATTGTTGTTTTATTTAATCCTCACTATAATCCTAAAAAGTAGGTATTAATATGATTTCCATTTTATAAAGAAATTGAACCCTAGCCAGTTTGGCTCAGTGGATAGAGCACCAGCCTGCGGACTGAAGGGTCCCGGGTTCGATTCCAGCCAAGGGCATGAGCCTGGGTTGCGGGCTCGATCCCCAGTGTGGGATGTGCAGGAGGCAGCCAATTGATGATTTTCTCCCATCATAGATGTTTCTATCTCTCTCCCCACTCTCTCCCTTTCTCTCTGAAATAAAAATATACTTTAAATAAAATAAATAAAAATCTCAAAGATACCCAGCAAAGCCCAACAATATAAAGCAATGTGACATTTATTCAAGTGTGCAATCTTTTAAGACTTTTTTGTTTTTTTAAGAGGTATGATAATTTTGAGTTTTTGTTTTTCTACATTATTCAGAAAAGGGGATGTGAGTTTCAAATAAAGAATGACTTTGGATTTGGTCTAAAAAGTAAAAAATTAAACAGTTCCAAATCTGTAACTACAAATTTCCAGATTTCCTTATATGAAAAGTGTACCAAAAGGACAGCAAGTGTCTCTCTTCTCTCAAGTAGGAGATAGGAGGCAAGAATCTTATCTGGGGTGTACCTACTTCTTTAGATTCACTCGGTTCCCAAGTGCCTGGAAGTCTTAAAGTCTAACGGCAGATATAAATGTGTCATAGAAACACAGAACAGGGAGAGGTGGGAATGGTTCTGGATAGTGGGACTGGGACTGATTGGAGGCTGGGGACTGGGGGACAAGGGGGTTGGAAATAAAGAAGGGGAAATGCACCACCCACACTCCCACCTCCACCGATACAACAAACTACTACTGCAGTCACCTTCTAATCAGAATTCCTGTAAGGAGAGAATGATGAATTGAAAATTAACATGTCCTTATGATAGAGAACATTTCAATATTTCTTTATAACTTATTGCTGATTGCCTACATTCTCTTACCAATGAGAGAGAAGTGTCTTCTAAAATAAGTTCTTCAAGTTTAAGTGCAATTAGATGTGTTTCAAGCCCTTTAATATGATCCACAACATTGGAAATTAAAGTCTGAAGCCCAGTAACATAGTCTTGAAAACTGGTAAAGACAGGTGGCTGAAAAAATCATTTTTAAAAAATTGAAAGATTATCAAACATATTCCTTATACTTACATCATTTAAGCTATACTAATTTCATACTATAGCATTACTTAATGCTATTAACAATAATAGTGATGGATACAGTTTTGATATTAACATAGTCTTGAAACCCATAGCATATTTAATTGCCACCAAATAATGCTAACTCGGCAACAATGACATAAGCATTCTTTAAAAATGAGATTTTAATTCACCCTGGTGAACTAGAGATGAAATTCCAATAGAAAAATATCTTGGCCACTGCTCAACTTTGAATTGAGAATCTCCTGGAACACTAAAGGAGATGAGAGGACCCCAAGACTTTATTTCTTCTCTTTTATGTCTTTGAGATTTCCTCTAATAGAAAAATGATGGGAGACTACAGTCAAGAAAATTCTGCCCTAGCTGGTTTGGCTCAGTGGATAGAGCATCGGCCTGCGGACTGAAGGGTCCTGGGTTCGACCCGGTCAAGGGCACATGCCTGGGTGGTGCGCTAAATCCCTAATAAGGGGCATGCAGGAGGCAGCCGATCAATGATTCTCTCTCATCATTGATGTTTCTCTCTCTCCCTCTCCCTTCCTCTCTGAAATGAATAAAAAAATATATATTTTTTAAAAAGACCAATGACAAACTGGAAGAAACGGAATCATCTATGATAAAGGATTAATAACACTATTATATTATTAAGAGTCCAACAGGTCAGACCATATCAAAAGGTAAAATATTACTCGCCGAAACCGGTTTGGCTCAGTGGATAGAGCGTCGGCCTGCGGACTGAAGGGTCCCAGGTTCGATTCCGGTCAAGGGCATGTACCTGGGTTGCGGGCACATCCCCAGTAGGAGATGTGCAGGAGGCAGCTGATCGATGTTTCTCTCTCATCGATGTTTAAACTCTCTATCCCTCGCCCTTCCTCTCTGTAAAAAATCAATAAAATATATTTAAAAAAAAAATATATATTACTACCACAATAGGAAACTTGGGCAACGACAGAACAAAAAATATAGCAAAGAAATCCCAGCAATACATCATACAATTTAAAACACAGATAAATGCAAGAAAGCTAGCCAATCAAGTAATAAACCAGCTTTTCACTCAAGAAGCAGTCTTTGAAGGTTCAACATCAATAGAAATTTTTAAATGCAAATTAGAAAAAAAGGAATAGTAATGTTTGCCTATCACAGTGATGGTGAACCTTTTGAGCTTGGCGTGTCAGCATTTTGAAAAACCCTAACTTAACTCTGGTGCCGTGTCACATATAGACTTTTTTTATACTTTCAACCATAGTAAAACAAAGATTAATATTTTTGATATTTTATATATTTAAATGCCATTTAACAAAGAAAAATCAACCAAAAAAATGAGTTCGTGTGTCACCTCTGACACGTGTCATAGGTTCACCATCACTGGCCTATCAGATGGGTAAGGGTACAGATACACTCAACACTGTTGTGAAATGTAAAAATGTACATACATAGTAACTTTAGATCTACGAGATATCGTAAGAAAATATTATAAATTAATCTTTGTGTATATGTCCATATTTTAATAAAAGCATAATTTATAATATTTAAAAATGAGAACCAACCAAATATTCACCAATGGGAATAAGTTATGGTGGTGTATTAATATAACAGGATAGTATATAACCATTAAAGGTAATGAGATACATATATATTAACTGAAATGAGATGTCAGTAAATGTCATTAAATAAAAAACAAAAACAAACCAATAGTTGCAAAACCTACAGAGCACGATTCTGGTTTGTTTGCAGTGGCTGTCGCTGCTTGGTGGGAATATGGATGATCTTCACTTTATTTACACCGTTAGGTTATTTAGATGATCATAAAAATAGGAAAGTTATTTTTATTTTCGGAATTAGAAAAGCAACAACTACAAACCCCACAAAATCCAAATACCAAAAAGCTACTTAACAAGTTCTAGGACTGTAGGCCTCCATTAACACAGAGAGTAACAGAGCAACTCTGATCTACCCTTCCAGACTTTGTACTCATAACTGTTAAATTATCTTAAACACAGTGAATGAAGGGGCAAGGGAGATGAGAGAGCAAAACAAAACAAATGTGCAAACTGTTAAAGTGGTGAGACTAGGTAAGGCTATTTAGGTGTCATTGTACTATTATTTCAATGTTCCTGTAGGTGTATAATTTTTTTTAAAGTTGGGGAAAGAAAATAAATGCATATAGGACCCTAAGGTCTCACAACATGCAGGAAAACAAAAAGCAGCATGCACCCAGATTATTACTTGTATTTTCTGTTATTACCATGATGATGCTGGTTTCTTTTTTCTTCTTTTTCTTTTTCTGTAAATTTAATTTGTATGGTCGCAGGACACTCTCACAGTAACTGGACACCCACAGAATAATAGAAATAGTCTGAAAGAGGAAAAATTACAAATTCATGAATAACGATTACACTCACGATATCAATCAGGAACAGTTAAATGTAATGGATTAAACAAATAAATTGACAGTTGTTCTAAGCAAATCCCTTCAATTTCTCCTCCAACTCTCCATTCTCTAATTTCAATGTTCACCACATTATCCAGGCCTTCATCATCTCTGGCTTAAATACAGCTTTATCCTTTCTTCAGGCTCCACTTGATCCTATTTCCTTTCTCTTGCCTATTGGAAGTGAGAATCTATTAACATCCTTTTCACTCAAGTGAGAAGTCCAAATTCCTAAACATGGAATCCAAAGGTTCTTTACAATATGTCTCTTTCCACCCACCTCTTCAGCCAAGTAAGATACTACCTTACCTGCAAACCTTAACTTAAATACATATGGAGAATCTCCCCAGTTGGTCAGCACACATCCTGTTTGTTAGATGTTTGTATGTCTTCTTCTATACTATAGTGCACACATGTACATATACACGCAATTTTATTCATTCATTCAGTCAGTGTATTATAGGCACTTATAATGTGCCAGTCACCAGACAGAGAATACTACCCTCAGAAAGTTTACAGACTAGCAGGAGAAGAAAAGAAAAAAAAAATGCCACAGAAATTACAGAAAAGATGTTATCAGTGTTTGTGATACATCCTCCTCTCAGCTAAAAGGAGGAGAGTTTTGATATACCAGCTCCTGGATCATCCTTCATAATGCAGAATCTCAGTAATTAGAGAACAGCCCGACAAATAAAAGAAGCTGGAGGAATTAATTTAAACTACATAATAGCTGAGTCAACAAGGAAAATGAACAGAAAAGAACTAGATTTGGAGTGCATCAGAAATCTTTCAAGATGAGTCCATTGTTTTTCAATTAACAAAAGGCAGGGGTGAGGGATTAAATTATAGGTCTAGGGTGCCTATTATCTGTTCATTTTTGAAAAATTAATCCGTCAGACAATAGAGAACAATCTAGTTTTTTAGGAAAAAAACGAAACATACCTCAACAAAGAAGACTAGATTTTCTAAAAGAGTAGGGTGTGTTTTCAAGTTACCATCTTTAATTTCTAATAGATCACCTTTACATTTACTGAAGACATCTAAAAACAGAAAAATATTTCATGGTTTTATTCAGTCCTTGTTTCATGTTATTCTTAGGAACACAATGTACAATCTACTACAGAATAAACAAATATTAAAGCTTAATCAAGAAAGCCTCCCATCCACACACAATAAACCAAATACCAAAGAATATCTATGTTAAGCTCTTTTAAAAGCCACATGACTATTGCTCTATTGTCTTTAAAATATAAAAGGTGGCTTTATAAATTACATATTCTAGTGTCTGAGCCTTTTCACAAATAGGCCATTGGCACAATAAAATTAAGATTCCCAGTGAATAATTTAGAAGAACTTGTGCCATTAAGGGCATGGTAGAGATGCACCTTCATAACAAATACCACATTTAATTCTTATAATCTTGATCATCTTTTAATTCTCATTCTTCATTTGGGCAATAAAATTAAAAACTGTTTAGAATCCTGAGGAGAAAGTCCCTTATAGATTCAAAATGCTTATGTATATCCTTTTACCAAATAATCCCACTTCTAGGAATTTAATCACAAGAAAATACTCAATAAGTATCTAAACACTTGTGTTTCAAGATGTTCATTTCAGCATTGTTATATATATGCTGTTTATAAATACTGCTACAAATAACTCAAGTGTATATTATGTATTCGATGGAGGGAAGCATAAACAAATTTGGTACAATGATTTAAAAAAAAAACCGTGGAATATTATGCAGTCATTAAAATGAATGGAGTGTACATGTAACTGAAATGGTAAGATATCCAAGATAATAGCAAATTATAGTCAGAAAAGCATACGTTATACCTTTTCATATGTTAAAGACAATTACTACTATGTATTTCCATATACACATGTATGGGCAGTTTGGGTGGTTTCTAGGCATACAGACTTCAAAGTGTCAACAGTTCTTACTCTGAGGGAATGGGGCTGGCAACAGGGGAAGGACCATACATAGCTGTGTACTATTTATATAATAGGTATCTCTATGGCTTTTGTAATAAAACCTTTTAAAGTTAAAAGCACATCTTAAACATATCAAAAGTATGCATTACTTTCAAATCCTCTTGCAAGTTCTAACTTAAAAAAAATGAGCTATTATCAGACAATCAGATACAAAAGGGGACACACAGTAAGTATGCTTACCTTTTAACTGTTCTAGTAAAGACTTAAGAATATTCTCTACTCGCTCCTGGATCTCTACTGTATCCTCTAAAATTGAAAAACAATGAAAAACATTCATTTTTTTTTTTTCCGCAAGCTCAATACCTGCAAGCCACATGTAGGCAAAGACATTCTTTTCTCTTAAGAGACAGAGAGACAGAGACAAATGAAAGGAAAAGAAAAGAAAAACTGAGAAAAGATAAAGGAAAAGACTTCTAGTCTAGGAGGACTAGAAATCTATGTGTTTCAAATACTCCAAATGACAGGACAGGAAGTACAAACCTTATGATTCAGAAGGGAAAAAAAACACCACAGCCTATAGAATATTTGTGATTCTCACTTGTTTTAGAGCTTAGAAAGAAACTTTTCTCCACAAAGTTGAAAATTTCTTTTTTTTTTTTAAAGAATAGTTTATTGCGCAGCCGGCAACCTATGAACCAGGAGGTCACGGTTCCATTCCCAGTCAAGGGCACATGCCCAGGTTGCAAGCTTGATCCCCAGTGTAGGTTATGCGGGGAGGCAGCCAGATCAATGATTCTCTCTCACCACTGATGTATCTATTTCTCTCCCTTCCTCTCTGAAATCATTTTATTTATACACACACACACACACACACACACACACACATATACAATAATTTATCCATTTTTAAGGAGAAAAGGGAGAGGGAGAAAGAGAAACACCAATGTGAGAATGCAACATTGATCAGTTGTCTCTTGTACGCCCCCACCAGGGATTGAGCCCACACCCGGGGATATGCCCATGATTGGGAATCTAATAGGTAACCTCCTAGTGCACAGGATGATGCCCAACCAACTAAACCACACCAGTGAGGGCTAAGGGCCTCATTTTTAAATAAAGAATTCAATCTGAAATCTAAAAACAGTGTAACAAATCAAGAATTTATTCAGCTTTTGAACTTAATAAGATTTCAAATATGGAAAGGACTTAAACTTCTAAAATATTACTTTATAACCTTTGAATGTACTTCCCTGTAAGCCAGAAATTTCCAGAACAGCTTCCAGTTTCCATCTCCTTTAAATTTTTCCAAATAGTGAGTTATAGATATTCTGTCGTATTTACTAAGTGCAATGTTGCAATGACAAAGACCCATAAATAGACTCATGCAAACATACACTTACCTAAACCATTGGTATCCAGCTCATAAATATCACAAACAAGATAAAAAGAACTGGTCTGACACTGAGAACAGCCAGAATTAAGGAATCCACCCATTCTGGTAGGCACAGGACCAAGGAAAGGATACTGAAAAAAAAGGAATAAAGTGATGTTCTTTAAATTCATATAAAATAAGAAATGGCTGTAACTAATGGATAAAAATCTATCTTAGTGATTAAGTTACAAACCACTGATCAGCAAACTATAGTACCCTCCCCCCCCCCCGGCCTCTTTATCCACAGGGAATACATTCCAAGACCCCAGTGGATGCCTGATACTATCAAACCCTGTATATACTATTTTTTTCCTATACATACATACCTATGATAAAGTTTAATTATAAGTCAGACAAGAGATTAATAACTAAAATAAAATAGAAAAATTATAACAATATAACATAATGAAAGTTAAGTGAATGTGGTCACTTGTTTTAAGGAACTCCTTGCTTAAGTCTTAGTATAAGATCAGTGCTTTTGGGAGCAACACATTGCCAGCAATCAAAACATGTATTTTGCATTAAAAAAAAAAAACACACACACAAAAAAACATGTATTTTGCTTATGTCTTCCACCCATAAATTTAAGCCCTTTCTACCTTAACTAAGCACTTACCACACACTGTGGACATAACTTTTGCAATTTGAGGTGCAACAGAAAAATACCACAAATTTCTTTTTTTTTCTTCACAATTTTATGGATGGAATATTGGTTCTTACTGTAGATCTTAGCAACCTCAGCATAAGACTTTTTTTCTTTCCTTATTAAATTGTGAACTTTTATCTTTTCACTTAAAAGGAAGCACTTTATGGCTTCTTTTTGGCATTTCCAAATTGCCAGCATCACTACTCTGTGCTTTGGGACTATTAAGTAAAATAAGGGTGACTTAAAAACAAGCAGTGCAGCCAAAACCGGTTTGGCTCAGTGGATAGAGCGTCGGCCTGCGGAATGGAAGGTCCCAGGTTCGATTCCGGTCAAGGGCATGTACCTGGGTTGCGGGCACATCCCCAGTAGGAGATGTGCAGGAGGCAGCTGATCGCTGTTTCTCTCTCATCGATGTTTCTAACTCTCTATCTCTCTCCCTTCCTTTCTGTAAAAAATCAATAAAATACATTAAAACAAACAAAAACAAAAAACAGAAAAAACAAGCAGTGCAATACCCTGATAACCAAGGCAGCTACTAAGTGACTAAAGGGCAGGTAGTGTATACAGTGTGGAAATGCTGGACAAAGGGATGATTCACATTCCAGGTAGGATGGAGCGGGATGGAGCTGGACAGTGTGAGTGTGCTTCTCAAAACAGCAAGCAATTTAAAATTTATAAGCTGTTTATTTCTAGAAATTTCCAGACTGTGTTTGACTGCAGGTAACCAACCATACCTGTGGAAAGCATAACCAGGAGTAAAAGGGGACTGTGATAACAACTACATCATTATAGAGAAAATAGATAGCTATTAAAAATGTGTCATCACACTGCCCGGCTGGCGTGGCTCAGTGGTTGAATGTCAACCTATGAACCAGAAGGTCAGGGTTCGATTCCCAGTCAGGGCACATGCCCGGATTGCAGGCTTGATCCCCAGTAGGGGTCGTGCAGGAGGCAGCCAATCCATGATTCTCTCTCATCATTGATGTTTCTCTCTCCCTCTCCCTCTCCCTTCCTCTCTGAAATCAATAAAAATATATTTTTAAAAAATTTACCATCACAGTCCTGGCCAGTGTGGCCCAGTGTGGCTCAGTTGGTTGGAGCATTGTCCCATACACTGAAAGGGTTCAATTCCTGATCAGGGCACATATCTACTAGATGGCAGGGTCTATCCTTGGTCAGGGCCCATAGGGGAGGCAACCCATAGATATTTCTCTCTCACATTGATGTCTGTCTGTCTCTGTCTCTCTTGCCCTCCTTCTCCCTTCTCTCTAAATATAAATGAATGTGTCCTCGGGTGAGAATTAGAAAATAATTTACTATCACCAAAAAAAGCTATTTTGCTTTTTCTCACTTTCCAGTTTGGATATTGAGACAGCCTCTACAATCCCCCAAGTTTGTAATATTTGCCTTTTTCCTACAAATGTCATAAACTGGGACAAAATTCTGTTTCTTACAATTCACCCACCCAAATTCATATTATTAAAAAGATAGTCATAAATTACTGAAGCTTCGATAGTATATACCTGAATTTCCTTCTCAATAAATCGCTTTCCTGTCTCCAGGGCCAACTCCAGCTGTTGAAGGAGCAAACGAAGAATATCAACCCGGGAGGCTACACCGTTCTCAGTGGTCTTCTCCGAGTTCTTTGGTTCCACAGGGTGGTTAAGACTTGGGAGTCCACTGATCAGCCTCAATGTTAAGGAACGGATTCTTAACCACATGGTCTCCTCCTCCAAGGAAAGTTTCTTATGCTCTTCAGAAACATCCCTTTAAAAAAATCCCCAAACCATCCCTTTTACTAAATGTGTTCGTTGCCTTTAAATCTTTCAAAGTTAACTTTCATCAGACAAGATGCTTTTGAGTGGTCCCAGCTTTCATTTACTAGCTGAATGATCTTAGACAAACCAAAATCATCCAAGTCCCCATTTAGGTATCCATAAATGGGAATGACAACCTACCTAACAGGTTATTTTCCCCTTAACTGAGACTTTTCTGATAATACAATTCAAATGACAGAAAAGTAAAAAGGAGAAGAAAAATGCCCTGATAACCAAGCATCCACCATATTAACAAACTTATAAATTTCAGATTTTTGCAATACAGGGGTACTCAAAGTATGCAACTAAAAGTATTTATACAATTTATTTTAAGCAAATAACACAGGTTCACAGTATTCATACTATTTTCCAAACTGCATCTTTTAATAATAGAATGTGTAGAAAAGATTAACATAGCAAGCCTGAGGCTATTAATTTAGAAGAGCCTGCTTGTAAGGGTAGCTCTAGGCTGATGTCTGGAAACTTGGTACTCCAACCATTCTCTAAATGACAAGAGTGGCTCACTGCGCCTAGACTGTATAAGCCTACTGTTTATGGTGAACACCTGTTTTCCTTCTGGGAGTCTAGAATGTTGGTACATGCTACACAAAGCATGCCTAACCCTTGGGCATCTACTCTCTAATGGGCTTCTCTAAGCAGAAACATTGCACACTCAATACTGTATTTTCCGTGGCTAGAGAAAGGAGCGTGTGTGATAGGGCACCTCCCAGGAAGGAGAGGACATTGGAAGTCTGTTCATGGAATTCTCCAGATTCCACCTGTATGTTTTTCCCTTGCTGATCCTGTGACGTATCCTTTTATTATAATAAACTTTAGCTGTGAGAACAAGGATATGTTGAGTCCCATGAGTCCTTGCAAATCACTAAATGTGTTCTTGGCAATCCCCAAGTCACAGTATATTCAGAACTACCTCATAGACATATCTCTGCACAACCTATTTCCTTAGGTTCCACTTTTCTAGAAGCAGATCTGCTGAACTAAATAGTATATGGATTTTTCAATCTTGATACATATACACATCACTAAAATTTCTGGTTAGGGAAAGTTATATAAAGTTTCACCCCCATGTAAACGTACAAAAACGATTTTCCCCACCACCTTGCTGAGCACAGTATTAATCCTTTTTATCTTTATCCGACAGGTTAAAATATTTTTACTGCTGGCCCTCACCAGTTTGGCTCACTGGATGGAGCGTCAGCCTGGGGACTGAAGAGTCCCAGGTTTGATTCCAGTCAAGGGCATGTACCTTGGTTGCAGGCACACCCCGAGTAGGGGGTGTGCAGGAGGCAGCTGATCAATGCTTCTCTCTCATCGATGTTTCTAACTCTCTATCCCTCTCCCTTCCTCTCTGTAAAAAATCAATAAAATATATTTTAAAAAAATATTTTTACTGCTGTAAGATACATTTCTTTGAATTTCCTGTTAAGCCATTTACCCAATTAATTTTTTAGTTATCTTCTTCTTAATTCTCTCTATATATGAAGGCTATTAATATATATAAAGAGCCCTGATCTTCATGATCTAGTGATTAAAGCATTGGCCAACACACCAGAGGGTCGTGGTTTGCAGGTTCTATCCCAGGCCTCAGTCAGGGTGCATGCAGGAAGCAGCCAATCGATGTGTATGTCTCACATAGGTGTTTCATACTCTCTCCCTCCTCTCTCTCTCTCTGCCCTTCCCCCATCCCTTCCACTCTCTCTAAAAAAACTCAATGGAAAAAATATCCTCAGGTGAGGATTAACAAATATATATATATGTGTGTATACACACACACACACACACACATATATATTTTATACTTTCTGATAAACTGATATATATATATATGAAGAAACTTACCAACTTACCACATATACTTCTATATAGAGGGCTAATATTTACGAAGGTTAAATCTTTTGTTTCCAGATTTGATGTAATGCTAAGAAAGGCTTTCCCTAACCATTTTCATTTTATTTTATATTTTCTTCTAGAATTTCTAAGAAAATATAAATTAACATAATCTTTAATCTATCTGGAGTCTGTTTGCATAGATGCTGTGAAGGACCTAACTTTTAATCCCAATATAGGGGTGAGATTTATTTTCTTTCTTTGGTTTACCTATATTTTCTGATCCCTACAATAAACATATTACTATATTTGTGTAAAAAGGTTTAAAAAAAAAACCCAATTCTTAGATTCATTCTAATTCTTTAAAAATAAATTGCTTGGGGGGGTACTTCCAGTTACCTATCTTTTGGATCCCAGCTGAAGAAAACATTTAAGTCTCTGTTGTCTCGCAAGGCTTCCCATGGAATGTCGTCTTCTTCTGGCCGAAGATTCATCGACTTTATACTTTCTGCTAAGCTGATTGTTCTGTGGTATATAAAATATATTTATGTATTATTGAAGTTATAAACCAGCCATAAAAACATTAGCTAGGACTTTGTTTTATTAGAAAGGAATGGGGGAAGGATTTCTACTAAGAAGTAAAGGCTCGCCCTAACTCGTTTGGCTCAGTGGATATAGCATCAGCCTGCGAACTGAAAGGTCCTGGGTTTGACTCCGATCAAGGGCACGTGCCAGGATTTCGGGCTCAATCCCGTGTAAGGGGCGTGCAGGAGGCAGTCGATCAATGATTCTCATTGATTTTTCTATCTCTCACTCTCCTTCCCTCTCTGAAGTAGATAAAAATATATTAAAAAAAATAGTAGTAGAAAAGGCTCATAGAAGGTGAAAGAGAACCAAGCACAGATCATGCCAGCCTGAGTCTGGAATCCACAAAGTGGATCCCTGAAATCCCATGTGTGCAGGGATCCTTATAAACACAATATCGCCCAGAGCCTAGCTGGCTTCTGTATGGAAGCTGGCAGTACTCTCATTCTCATGACATATATCAAGTTCTCTTCCCCTTTCTTCCCTGCATCCCCTTCTATTTTCTCCTTTCCTCCCATTTTTCTGTAGCTTAAACCTGTTAATGTCACCCATGAGCCCATTAAAGGCTCTCAGCATTTGATCTTATCCCTTAGTTCCTTTGTAGTTCTTATGGAATTCTATATAATAAAAGCCTAATATGCAAACTGTTCGATTGGGAGTTTGATCACTCGCTATGACGTGCTCTGACCACCAGGGGCGGTGTGGAACATGGCAGGCATCAGTGATGCAGAGCTGGCAGCAGTAGAGGTGCTGCCAGCCCCAATGGGCCCCAATGAGAGCAGGACTGCAGCAGGATGGTAGAGCAGGTGAGCAGGCGGCGCCAGGCCAATTGGGTGCAAGCAGTGGCCCAACTGCCCCGCCGATCGCCCCACAGACTGCAGGGGGGGGGGGGGGGGGGGCTCCGCACAGTTCCCAGGCCCTGAAGGAGCCAGGCAGGGGACCTGGTCCCAATCAATCACCCCTCACCCCGCAGGCAGGATGGTGGAGCAGCACCAGACCACGGCGGGGTGCCAGGTGGGGCTGCAGGGCTGCGAGGCTGGGGGCACAAGCAGGGGCCCAATCCCCACAGGCCACCCCGAGGGACCCCACTCATATATGAGTTCAGGCACTGGGCCTCTAGTACTTACATATTTGCTTCAAGTAGAAGGTCTAACAACATCCGTTCAGTACGGACTTGTGCAAAATGAAGAGAATTATTCAGCCTGTTCCTAAAAGCGATAAACTCTGGGATCTTCTCAAATGCACCATATTTGTAAGCTTGAATAATATATTCTGAGGTCTGGGAAGGAAAGACATTACCTTGGTATAAATATTTCACAGGTCAGACAATGAAGGCAAACATTGCCAGCCAAAATTTTAAAAAAAAAACAACAAACCCTCAAACTAAAATTAAGATGTTGAATCTACTCTTTAAAGGCCTTGGTCACCAAGGAGACTATTGACTTTTTAAAACATTATTTTCCTTCTTTCCTATACCAGAGTCAAATGTCTTCTTTACTAATATTACCACTGGTAATACCCAGCTGCTGCTGCCACCATACAAACTTTTTCTTAGCAATTTTGTCTTTCAATTCAACAGGACTGGAGGTTTGTTACACCAAATCAGTCAAAAAGTTGGTCTGTGCCATTGTGGAAGGGATATTACTCCATGTTTTTCTGCATCTAAGATAAACTGTTTTATACAAAGGTTCCAAAACACTAGAATAATATAACCACCCTACCAACACCACCCCCCAAAAAATCACTCTCCTTCAGAAAAAAAAAAGGCTGCTCCTTGGTTTTATTTATTTCTAAATACAATATCACAAACATAGGACATGTATTATATCAGGATAGAAATAAGGCGCCAAACAAAAGACCTAAAAAACTCATGTCATAATCTGTTCTGAGAACAGAAAGACTTCAAGAACCAGACTACTTGTCCATCCAAACTACCTAAGACCTTTGCTGGAAAATTCCATAAACAAGTAAGTGAAGGCAACACTCACCACATCTGATTTAATTTAGATTAATACATTTACAGATGAAACATTGTAAACAGAGGCAAGATAAAGAATTCTCAACAGAAATTCTGGCACAACAGAACAAAATCTCAAGGAAGAACATTTCATAGGTGGACCTATGCCATCAGGATTAGAAGTCAGGAGGGCACCCCTTTGGACCAAGGAAAGTGTGAAGTTCAAAGCTGATGTCTACCCTAAAAAATCCTTTCTAGATCCTTTCCAGTCTGTTTGGCATAACCTCAATCAGCTTTACCCCCATCTCCATAATGTTCCAATTATCTGCCCAATAGGAAAATAGGCCAATAGTTCACAACATACCCTCTGATACACAGCCTCGCAGGGTTCATTTCAGGCCGCGGGATTGCGCCACGGGCGCTAATTCAACTGCATTCGATGCGGCTTTTAAACCCCCATGGGACACCTCGGCGAGCTGTTTGCCTGCAGTATCTGGAGAAATTAAAGACGGACGGACACAAGAAAATTAAAAAGATTACTTGTGATCCTGCAGGTTTAAAGAAGGACTATCTGAAAAAGCTCAAGTGTACCTTCTAATCGAGCCTGATTAAAGGACAGTGATAGGCCCTATAAGAAGAGGCCAGGACACTCTAAACACATGCCTATCCGATGGCCACTTGGCTTGGAAAACAGCAAGGTTTACCAGCAGCCCTTGCAATAGGAACTTAGAAGTTGAAGGAAAAAAAAATAGCTGGTTAGGAACATATGATCCAGAAATTAATCAGGATAAAATATGACTTTGGTGATTCCAATCAAATTTATCAATTACAGATCCAAAATATGATATGTTTAAAAGAAAGAACCCAGCCTTACTGAGTGTAGAAGCAGTTTTAATTTGAAGTGGTCCATGGACTACCACTTTAGAAAATGGCAACAGCTTTAAAAAGAGAAAATAGGGGGCAACAAAGAGGGTGTAGTCCTTTAACTCTAGTTCTCTAGTTGCTCTTTTGACAATAGTCCTCCTTTAATGCTGCGGTAAACTGTCACTGCAGAACTAGAAAAGGGCTCGAGCAGCTACCAATAGGACAAAAGCCGGGAAAGGACTACAATTTGAAGACACCCCCCGCCATTAGAACTGCAGGCAAAACTGGAAGCCACCGGCACTTTAAAGACTTCTGAATATCAGAGAATGTTGTCCGTACCTATTTCTATTCATGTATGAACCACTGAAGCTATTTAGATCCCATTCGGATTCCTGAAATGAACCCTGGTCACTAAAAATTTGCATAATACATGGACATCAAACCCCTGAATAATAACTTCTATGGATACCTAAAATAAAGACTTTTAAAGGGAAATTTTTAAAGTATAAATATATAAGTAACTTACGAAGATATGAAAATCTAGCACTAATTCTCACATTGTAAAAATCTATTCACAAGCAATAATGACGGCAGACAATCACCTTCTCAGAGAGAAAATTCCTGTGCAGACCTTCCAAATATAACTTTTGATTCCACAGCACAAAGCCTTAAAAAGCAGAAAACCAGATTTTCCATTTAGGAGTAAAAGTGTTCTTTCAAAGAGCTAGTTGGGAATTGAAATACATCAGACACTCAAGGAAACACCAAATGGGAACACTAAAAACTACCAAGAATAAAAGATATAGAGCGTAGAGTTTTTGTTTCCAGAGAGATATTTCTAATACTACCCCAGAAGATTTAACACATATAGTACCAACACTACAACCGTGATCTTTCTCAGCCTCAAATTCCTACAAGAAACAGTCCACACCAGTCTCCATTTTCATATTTGGGGACTGGGGTTAGGCACTAAGGTTTAAGGTGTGTTTTCCTTGCTATACTGTGTTTGCTTTTGCCTCCAGAATCCCCAAAGATTATCTACCTAATATAATTAAGTAAGCTCTGTCTTCCCAGTTAGTAGTAATAAAAACAAATGTGTCAAGTAGAACATCCTAGTTCCAGATCAATAAAACACTATAATTTTATCAGGTTCAGCATTACAAGCATTGAGATGAATTGTCACTCCTGCCACATACAGCAAAACACCAAAGATACAAAAAGCCACGTTAGAGACAACATGTCCTCTCTAATCACTCCTGGGGATCTCCTTTCCCTACTACAATACTTTTATTTGGTGTGTGTGTTCAAAACAACTGTTCAGACACAATTTTTGTGGGGGAATAATTAAAGCTTAACTATAGGGTAAATAATGTATCTCTGTTGGCCAAGTCATGAACAACATGGCTCTTTAAGAATGTTAAATGACTGGAAACAAGTAAAACCAGCCACCAGACTTGAACTAACCCCTTATTTACCCCAACTCCCACTTCAAAACTATCTGAGAAACAAAACTTTGAAAAGAATTCTTCAGTAAATCAAATGTTTAATTAGCCTCTTCCTTAAAATATAGAAATGAAAGCTAGAATGAGATTTAAGGAACAGTTTTTTCTTTTGTGTTAGTAAAACTACTTGAAAACAGAAGGCAAAGCACAGATAATTGAATGCACAGTGAAAACTCAAGAGATTTATAACTGCCCACTCATGCTAAGAAATTTTAGAAATCCAAGGTCCAAAAGATACTCCCTGACCTCTAAGCCAGGCCAGCACCTTCTGAGCAATATGTTCAAATGCTGATGCCTACTTCACTCTCTCCCTGGTCAGGAGCTATGGCACAAAATGAGGTCTGGACAGAGATACCAACAACTGTGGGGGAAAGAGGTCAAAGGGGAGGAAAATAGGGCTTAAAAGCCAGTAAATGAAGCATACCAGTCCTTCAGGCCATGCCCTGAAACTTGTCAGGACATAATTATTACAAGCTGAGAACAACAAACCTATTGACTACAACCTTAAAGAATTAGATAGCAGATAGATTAGCCAAAGCTGTTATAGTTACAAAACATTTTTTAAAAATCCTCATGAGTGTTTGCCATGAAGAAACCCAGAAACCAGCTTGCTGACCCAGTTTCTTGGTTGCTACTAGACCAGAAAATGGAGAGCTACGGGCAGATATCTGGAATGGCCCAATTCCAGGTGATGAGTCTTGGAAGCACATGAGAACCAGTCGGCAGTGACCTAGAAGACATGCCTTAGCTTCACACATCTTCCTGGGTAGTTTTGCATAGTTGGTCAACTGAGTAGAAACCATATATATGGCTCTTCCACAAAAACGACTGCTTAACTGACAAGTGGAGACCAAGTTTGCTTGCAATGAAAAATATGGTGCAAATCCCATCCTTTCATTATGGCACATAAAAGCTCTATCTTATTCATTGCTGAAATGACCTTCAATTGGTCAATTTTATAATTCTAAGAAAACGTAAGTGCGTTTGCTGTTGACAAAGAGCACAGTGGTTATAGACTTCAGAAATAAATCAAGGTAACAGAGAACAGCTGCTATCGCAGAATCTTACACAGCTTCTCATGTCCTTGGAAAAAGTCTCTTAAAGATTAAAAGACCGACCTAAGTGGCATAAAACTTCCTATTCTGTTAATACCCAGTTTTAACACCTTTGTATGGATTCTATCAACCACAAATAACTTCAACTATACCTATCAGCCTTGGCCAGTAAGCTATGGCATACAGGCACTTGCAAGTACAGCAAGATACACCTAAAGTGTACCTGTGACACGGGAAGATGCTCTCTGAATCATGTGCATTCCACAGGCAAGACCATAAAAAAAAATTTTTTTTTCACTTACATCTTTCTGGTTGGAGTGGAAAAACCTGAGTGCGAAGTTACAGGATTGGGATGCAGCAGCATACTGACCTAGGGATTCAGCGTATCGGGTCAAAAGGTAACTAGGTCGGAAGGAAAGAGAAAAAAACATGTTATACTTACCCACCTATAATATCATATACTATACTTCAAATTATTTTGGCAGAGAAATAGTTAAGCATATGGAAAATTTAAAACATCTTGCAACAGAAATCTAATTTACAGAATCAAATTTTTAAAAAGAACAAAGTTAATTCAGTTTTGGGGAAGCTCTAAAGTTCAATGCCATGCTTTCTTATACTCAGATAATTAATGGAGCACAGATTATGAAAGAAGAGAATACTATCTTCCTGAAACAGCTCTACAGGGAATAGAGAAAATACTCCAATTCATCGCAAAGAATAATTCCAACGCAAATTCAAAGAATCTCTGAGGAAAACAAATGAAGTACAGGTGTCAACCTGAAGTCCAAGCCAAAAGTAAAGATTTCAAAACCATGTTTGCTAAGAAAAAGGGTTCAAAGTATATAGCCATTTGCTGTCTCTAAGAAAAACTTTCTTACCATTTCTAAACTATGCAATTTTTAACATTACTACATAATGCTGGCAAATATAAATCTTACTGTTTTTCAATGAGTCATGATATGTGATTATTTCATCTAAAAAGCTTAATACCAGGAACAACTTTGCTGCTAAAATCAAAATGTTTCATATATCAGAGCCCCACACTGGTGTAGCTGACTGCTCATTATTCAGAGTATATACTACCAACCCAATGGTATCATGCTGGATATGCTTAGCATCAAGGCTGGAGTACAGATCCAACACAGGTTCAAATGCTCCCAGCATACAGTAGATTCGAACAAGCAGCAATTTGAATTGAGCATTGGAAGGGCTATGGATTAATCCCTCTTCCAGCAAAGTCAAGGCCTGCCACACAGCAGTCTCGTCACCTAGAACCAAAATATAATAGCGTTACCCACAGATCTTGACAGCAAATATAGGGTTCTCAAAAACAAAAAATTGCTGACATCACCACCTCCCCTAATTATTCTAAGAATGAGTTTAGATGGCAGAGAAGAAATTTTAGATACACACCTATAAGCAAAACAGGGGGTTTCCCTGAATAGGTACCTCAATTCTTAAATATGCATCTATAAAACTGACACAAACTTTTAAGCTGCCAGGACTTGTAGAGGGAAGTTATGGAATCTCAGGGAATCCTAGATTCCAAGAAGAGACGAACTTTGCAGGAGAACTGGTGTCACCAACCTTCCCAGTTCAGGATTTTCTCTACAAGACCCAGATGCTTTCTCTAAACGTCATTTTTTCTTCTATTGTAACTCTACCAATAGGATATCAAATAAGATTTGAAAAAAATTGCTCATTCATAATCAAAATAAAGTGATACACATTTTGAGCCACCAAAACTCAGAAGTTCACATGTAACTATGGTATTAAAGATTAAGTTAATTCTCTTTTAAGAATCTACCTGGCCCTAGCCAGTTTGGCTTCGTGGATAGAGCGTCAGCCTCAGGCTGAAGGGTCCCAGGTTTGGTTCTGGTCAAGGTCACATGTCCAGGTTGAGGGCTCAGTCCCCAGTAGGGGCCGTGCAGGAGGCAGCCGATCAATGATTCTCATCATTGATGTTTCTATCTATCTCTCCCTCTGCCTTCCTCTCTGAAATCAATATCCTATATAATAAAAGGCTAATATGCAAATTGACTGAACCGCAGAACGACCAGTCGCTATGACACAGACTGACCACCAGGGGGCAGACGCTCAACAAAGAAGCCCTGAGCCGGTCTCAGGGTTGGCAAGCACAGCGGCGATGGCAGGAGCCTCTCCTACCTCCATGGCAGTGCTAAAGATGTCCAACTGCTGGCTTAGGACCGCTCCCCTAAGCCATCAGTCAGACATCCCCCAAGGGCTCCCGGACTGTGAGAGAGAGGGCGTAGGCCAGGCTGAGGGACCCCTACCCCCCCAAGTGCATGAATTTCATGCACCAGGCCTCTAGTATATATATATATATATATATTTAAAAACAAATTACTCCAATAAAAAAAAAAAAGAGTTGAACAATTATAGAGAACAGAAAATTTTAAGAAATTCTAGCTGTTCAAGGATAACCAGTATCAGGGGGGAAAAAATCTTCTTAAAGATCTCTTTAAAATAGAAACAAAATCTCAAAGTAAATAGCAAAAAAAAAAAAAAAAAAAAAAAAAGATTTCATTTCATACTTCTTTCTGAACTATTGAACCAAATATTATAAAAACATGTATCATTTTATTTTGCAAATTTTAGGATATAACTACAACTGTACACAAATTCTTACCAAATCAAAAAAAGCATCAAAGACTGATGAGGTTTTTTTGAGGTACAAAATTTTTCTAACAAAATTTTATAATATAACAAAATGACATAATATCTGGGGACATAATGTACAGCATGGTAATTATAGTTAATACTGTATCGTACATTTGAAAGTCACTAAGAGAGTAGACTTAGTAAGAAAAATGTTATAGCTGTGTGGGATAGATGTTAACTAAACTTATTGTGGCAATCATTTCACAATCTATACATATGTCAAATCATCATACTGTATACCTTAAAGTAATACAATGTATCAATTATATATCAATAAAACGGAGGGGGAAATGGCATTCTTCACTGCCCTTTTTATTTTTGCAGCATAACTATAAAGAAATGCCATTTTGCAAAAACATTTGAGAGCATCACCCATTTCCTAAAATAATCTTCTTAAATCCTTTCATATTCAAATCATTCTTTTTCAACAGCCTTACCAATTTTCTATAAATTTCAATTTTCTGCCAGATCCTCCATGAATAATGACTATGCCTATGATTGGTGCACTTCAACATCACTTTCACTGACTTTAAAAAAAAAAAACTTGGCCCTAGCTGGTTTTGCTCAGTGGTTAGAGCATCGGCCTGCGGACTGAAGGGTCCTGGGTTCGATTCCAGTCAGGGGCACATGCCCAGGTTGCAGGCCCAATCCCCAGTAGGGGGCATGCAGGACGCAGCCAATCAATGACTCTCTTTCATCATTGATGTTTCTATCTCTCATCTATTTCTCTCTCTCTCTTCCTCTATGAAATTAATAAAAATATATTTTTAAAAAACTTGTACCTTTATAATATCTGCAATTTCCCATGCACTTGCACTGTATGGCTTTGGACAACTTACCTAACTTATTTCTCTCTGCCATTTATTTCCCGCATCTGTAAAACTGTAACAACCTTAACTGCATTATTTTGAGGTTTATATTAGCTAATTCATGTGTAATATTTTAAGTGCCTAATGACCAACAAATGTTAGCTGTTACTATTAGATGGCCAGGTATCTTTGCTTAAAAAAAACAAGAAATTAACAAAGCCATAGTCAGTATGAGCAAGATTGCATGTTAGAGGTAAGTGGGGCAAGGTATTCGAGCAGGGACAAATTTGCTAAGTAAATAGTTCATCAATGATTTTTACATTAGGGTGACTTTTACAGCCCTATGCAACCTCATGAATCTGGGGTTTAGATAACAAATACTCTAATAAAGATGATTTAACCTTCAATCCCAGTATAATACAGTGTAACAAATACTATCATATGGGTACATATAATGTCCTATAAAAAGTTCTGAAGAGGCATGAAATCCACAGTGAGGGAGGGGGTGAAATAAAGACCATCTTGTCAGAAGTATTGTTTGAGTAGAAGTTAGAGGAAGGAGGTAACAAAGTTTTTTCTAAGAGAGGCAATACGATGTTCAAAAAAACCCCCAGTAGATTCAGGACTGTACGTACATAAGAATCTGGAGATGCAGGCAGAAGCTGGATTTTAAAAAGGCATTGTAAATTACCCTGAAAAGGCTGGCCTTTATCCTCAGGAAAATAGGGCATCTCTGGAGAATTTTAAGCATGAGTATAACAGTATCAAAACTGAGTACTTTGTGAAATGACCCATGAGGGCAGGGGTTGTGTCTATCTTGCACACCACTTCCTCCCCGGCCTTTGTTTCTTCTATAGTTTATTCTAGTAAATAATATGCAATAGTATCTGAAGTTATTTTTTCCTAAAGACTGCTAATGAGAGAAAATGTTAGGGGGAGGCACCCTAAAGAAAAGGCAATCTCAGACCAAGCTGGTTTGGCTCAGTGGATAGAGTGTTGGCCTGCGGACTGAAGGGTGCCCGGTTTGATTCGTTAAGGGCACATGCCCGGGTTACAGGCTTGATCGCCAGTAGGGGGCGTGCAGGAGGCAGCTGATCAATGAATCTCTCTCATCATTGATGTTTCTATCTTTCTCTCCCTCTCCCTGCCTCTCTGAAATCAATAAAAAATATATTAAAAAGACAAAAGAAAAGGCAATCTCAATGCCATTCGCTGAATCATCCTTTACCATATATTGTATGTTTGTCTTAAATGGGCTAACCAGAACTGTATTCCAAAAAGACTGCATTTTCCTGTATATAATTTTTTTACAAGAAAAAATCTTAATTTTTTATTAGAATTAGGCAGAATATAAAAGCAAACATGGAAAGGAACTGATCATTTTGCTATATATAATTTTTTTAAATGAGTAAAGGGGCTATTCCATTCCATGGGCCTGTACATCCATCTCTAAATCAGTTTCTCTGTATTTTAATTATTGTAGCTTTGTAATAAGTTCTCTACAGTCATTATTCACTATTCATAAATATTTTAAAAAAGAACAGATATCCACTGATTTAAGATTTTCCTGATTGCAAGGAGGGGGATACGTGGAGACTTAGGTTCTTCTAGAACAGGGGTGGGCAAACTTTTTGACTCGAGGGCCACAATGGGTTCTTAAACTAGACCGGAGGGCCGGAACAAAAGCATGGATGGAGTGTTTGTGTGAACTAATATAAATTCAAAGTAAATATCATTACATAAAAGGGTACGGTCTTTTTTTTTTTTTTTTTTAGTTTTAGTCATTTCAAACGGGCCGGATCCGGCCCGCGGGCCATAGTTTGCCCATGGCTGTTCTAGAAGCACCTTGGAGAAGGGCAAGAAAGAAAAATCTAAGAGCATAAATCAAATTCTTGGGTTATGTAATTAGTCCATGGATTTATAGTCAATTAAAAAAAGAGTAGTATCAAAATGAAATGATTGCTCCTTACCTGTTTCTCTCCATATATCAATAAGCACATGGACAGCAAGGAGACAGTAATAGTCTGAAAACTGCAATTCGGTTTTCAAACAGGATTTCCCTACAGGGGGGGAAAAATCATGTGTATTTAACATTCATTTAACTATTACTGCTCCAAAGAAGTTTTTTAGAGCAGGAACAGTGATAAGAAGGAGAGGAGAGAGGTGGGAAAGGAAATAAGAAGAACAGGTTAAATATCAAAAGAAAATATAAGCCATGAACCAAAGGATTCAAATGATGAGACTAGACTCAGCTGGAACAGAAGGGTTCCAGAACAGAGATGGTATCCAAAATGGTCCAACAGGGAAAGCAGCAAGATTTGAAAGGCTTTAGGTGAAGCACAGAAGCCACGGCCATGTATAACTGAAGCCATGTTATGCTCATTACTTCACCTAAATTTTTAGAATGCTGTTAAAGAAATACTGATATCATCTAATCAGATATTTTATCACATATACCTAGCAATCTGAAGATCTTCTACTTCTAAATACCTCACAATTTACAACATTCCTTTTGTTCACTTATGTAGGCATATAAGCAGAAAACGTGACAATTATCATAAACTATGCAATTCATGAGCCCAATGTGATAGCTCACCAGATCGGGAAGAATATGGACAATATAATTAGTTAAAACTCCAAACTTATTTAATATTATGTGCCAACTACACTTAAAGTTTTAAGAAATGAAATGTGGAAGAAAATAATAATAATAAAACTCCAAGCTTTAGAAAGGCTTTGCACTTTATTATTTGGGTAGTCTTGCCACTTGACAAAATATTCTCCTTGCCAATCTCATTAAAACAGGACGCTGTGATTCAAAACAAAACAAAACTAACTTCTAAGTCTTAGCATATCAGAGAACAACTGCACATTTTGAAAGGTTGCTCACCAAATTCTAGTCCATGCTGGTATCTTAACATCAGTTCTCGGACCACACTCAATTTCTGATTTTTATCCATCGTGTGGTACAAGCCTAGTAACCTCGTCAGCTGCACCACACACAAATGCTGCTGCAGAGCTCTGATGTCAGCAGGCAGTGCCAGCTTATCCTCTGTTGGTGTCGACAAAGGAACAACTCCAAGTAACTGATTAATAAACTGCAGAGTGGGAAAAAAAGGAGGACAGGTCTCAAAACAGATCTAGTTTTCAATAGGCCATAATTAAAAAATACTGAAATGGTCTAGAAAAAGACATCAATCAAGAAAAAATAAAAATTAAAATCCTTTTACAATATCATTTTTTATTCACCAAACCATATTTTATTAAGATAGAGTAATGAAATAAAATATACATTGTTTTATTTGATATATTGATAATGTTAATTATATTTTAAAGTTAAAGTCAATGTTTAATTTTATCAGGTATCTAAATAATTATATATTTAAATATAATGTACATACACCCCACACCTATAAAGTTATATACAGACTAGAGGCCTGGTGCACGAATTCGTGCACAGGTAGGGTCCAGCCAGCCCGCCCTGATGGGGGCCCATCGGGCTGGGCAGCAGGGGAGAGAGGACGTGAGAGATTGGCCGGCCCTGCCCCTGATGGGGGTGTGATCGGGGGCGAGGCCAGCCGGGGAGAGGGGCCACAAAAAGTTGGGGGGGGGCCGATCGGGGCCCCAATCAGGCTGGTTGGCCACTGCAGCACGCATCATAGCAACTGGTCATTCCAGTCATTCCGATCATTCTGGTGTTCCGGTCACTTGGCGTTTATCCTATATAATAAAGGTTAATATGCAAACAGACCGAACAGCGGAATGACCAGTAGCTATGACATGCACTGACCACCAGGGGGGTAGATGCTCAACAAGGAGCTGGCCCTGGTGGTCAGTGTGCTCCCACAGGGGGAGCGCCACTCAGCCAGAAGCCAGAAGCCGGGCTCATGGCTGGCGAGCGCAGCACGCAGTGGTGGGAGCCTCTCCTACCTCTCTGGCAGTGCTAAGGATGTCCGACTGCTGGCTTAGGCCCACTCCCCACCAGCAGTTGGACATCCCCTGAAGGCTCCCGGACTGCGAGAGGGCATAGGCCAGGTTGAGGGGAACAACAACCCCCCCCCCAACACCCCCCACCCCTGTGCAAGAATTTTGTGCACCAGGCCTCTAGTATATATAGATTATGTATGTATGTTAATATAATTATGAGCAATAAAATATATTAGACATTCTAACAACTTTGACTATATGCTATTTTTTTTTCTTCAATTAGAGGTTAGTCCCATTTTAAAAGAATTTGGCTCCTAATTCATTGGGACAACAGTTCTCAGTTTGAACCTTACAGGGCAGTTTGCAATCCTCTTACAAACTGCTGAGCAGCAGAATCCCACATTTAAAAGGTTGTGGCAGCAAAATTACCCCTCTCAATGAAAAATTTACATAGAACTACACAACTCATTGCAGCAGCTTTAAATCCTTTGTATCGCAGAACAATGACTACCTTAGCATTGCTAGTATTCCAGCATTTCTAGAGGGTTCCTCTTACTACATCACTATGATGAGATCCTGTGAGATGACCTAGGGCAGTGGTTGGCAAACTGCAGCTCGCAAGCCACATGCGGCTCTTTGGCCCCTTGAGTGTGGCTCTTTCACAAAATACCGACTTCTGCGCATGGGCCACGAAGTTTCAATCGCACTGTACGTGTGCGCCCACACATGGTATTTTGTGGGAGAGCCACACTCAAGGGGCCAAAGAGCCGCATGTGGCTCACAAGCCGCAGTTTGCCGACCACTGACCTAGGATTTTCAAACATACCAGCAAAGCAGAGGGGCTGGTACCAGATTCATACTGGCAAACCTTTATGAATCTCAGCTGATGACAATATAAGTGTTCCTCTAATGCCTCCCCATCATTTGATGCTTCAACTTACAAGATGGTAAGCACTATAAGACATGATCAGTTGTTCCCTAGCTTAGCCCTTAGCACATTGTAAGTGCTACAAACACTGAATGAATCTCTCCCACATGGTTCCATAGTCTGTTTACTAATAAATCCCTCCAGTAACATGAAATTCAAACACTATTTTTAGAGAATTCTGGCTACTAAAAAGATACTTTTCTCACTAAATTCTGAATTCCCTGTAACAACTTGCTGACTGAGTGGAAGAGAGAGGTTTAGTACTGGTTCTCATCCCTTTCCTACAAGAGAGCTTTCAAATATAAGAAAGTAAGTAATGTGGAATACTATTCTGCAATAAAAAGGAATGAACTATTGATACATGTAACAAATGCATGAATCTCTAGGGTATTATGCTGAGTGAAAAAAGCCAATCTCAAAAGGTTATACATAATATGATTCCATTATATAAAATTCTTAAAATGACAAAATTGTAGAAATAGAAAACATTAGTTGTTGCCAGAGAGTAGGGGTGAGGAAAGGGGAAGGTGCAGGGAGGTGGCTGGGGGTAAAAAAGAGTAGCGCATGGGATCCTGATAGTGAACTGCTCTGTGTCTTGATGGTGGTGGTGGTCACATAATCCACATGTATTACATACTGCCCTAAGAACAGAAAAACACCCCTAGCTGGTTTGGCTCAATGGATAGAGCGTTGGCCTGCGGACTGGTTTGCGGGCTCCATCCTTAGTAGGGGGCATGAAGGAGGCAACCGATCAATGATTCTCTTTCATCACTGATGTTTCTATCTCTCTCTCCCTCTATCCTTCCTCTCTGAAATAAAAATAAACAAAAACAAACAAACAAACAAAAAAACACCACACTCACAAATGAATGCATACAAAACTGGGGAAATTCAAATAAGGTCAGTGGATTGTATCAATATCAATTTCCTAATTATGCTATTATACTATAATTATGCACTGTGTTAGCATTAGAGCAAAATGGGTGATGGGTAGGTATACAGTGTTCTCTGTATTATTTCTCTTATAACTGCATATAAATCTACCATTATCTCAAAAACACACACATATGCCGAAACCGGTTTGGCTCAGTGGATAGAGCGTCGGCCTGTGGACTGGGGGGTCCCAGGTTGGATTCCGGTCAAGGGCATGTACCTGGGTTGCGGGCACATCCCCAGTGGGAGGTGTGCAGGAGGCAGCTAATCGATGTTTCTCTCTCATCGATGTTTCTAACTCTTTATCCCTTTCCCTTCCTCTCTGTAAAAAATCAATAAAATATTTTAAAACACACACACACACACACACACACACACATAAAAACAAAAAAGGAGAATCTAATTATCTACAAAGGGTTATTCTCATTGTGGCTGAACTTAACAAGAAATCATGCCTTTAATCTGATAGCCCCTAGAAGTGCTTGGCTTGATAGAGCAGTTATCTTGATATCTCGTGTTCACCACTCTCACATTTTAGAAAGGAAACCCAAACACTTAACCTAGTTACAACAAATACAGGCACCCAAAAGAATTCCGAATAGTACTTACTTTTGTACACTGTGCAGCAGGCAAGAGATCAACAAACACCTTGAGGTCTGTAAAACAGCAAGGTTTATCCCCAAACTTTTTAAAATACTGAAACATTAATTCTTCTGGGTCACCTAAGAGAGAAAAATAAAAACCACTAAGTTATTCATGGACTGAAGCAATTTCTAATTTAAGTACAGGTCTGATTTGAAAAATCTTTAAATTAACATTTTGTTTGAATGCTTGAGTGAGAGTGAATGAGAATAACAATGAGGGCTGGAAGGCGGCTTGTGTAGTTAAAAATAAAAAAATACTTTTAAAAGGAGTAGAATCTTACATTCAGTTTACCTATTAATACACTTAGGAAATGTGAAGCTCTTCATTCAATTAAAATTTAAACAGTTAAAAAGTTTTCATCAAAGTTTAAAGAGTTAAGTTTACATGCAAACATTAAACAAACATGCTTCTCTACAACAGTTCCTGAACTACTGCAGTATCAAATAAATGTTAATTAAATGAAAGGTAATGTTGGTTAATAGCCACACCAACAGAAGAGAAAATAAATGGGAAGAACCTCAGGCCAATAACTCCAGCAAGATCACCCACTATTAAAAATTTAAACCTGGAAATGCAGAAAGCTACCAGGTTCACTTTATTTTTTCCTCAAATTAAAAACAAAAAATAAAAATAAAATGTTCTCAAATTGAACTAGGTTTAAGAAGCAGAGATTCTAACCAAGGAGTTGTGTAAGATTTTAGGTCCCAGTTCCTATTCACATATGTTTGGGAACAGAGGTCCCTCTAACCAATTTTCACAGGACTCTGTGATCCAAAAGAGACTGAAAATCACTCACTGGTCTGGTTAAAAAAAAAAAAAAAAAAAAAGTTTTTTTAATTGCGGAGACTAGACAAATTCACTAATCTGTAAGATGCTTCACTATCCAAATACTTATTTTCTCCCACGTCATTATCCTTATAAACTTTATCTTCGTTAATTGCCCTAACTCTGCTAACTCAGTCTTTCATCAACGTAAGAGCTGGGAGCAGATTGTCAATAAAACTTTCATCCACTTCAAGAAATTCTGAAACTTTTATGAAACTGGCTATTTTACTTTGAAATTTGATTATTATTGTTGGATCAGCAAAAAGAAAAAGAAAATGTCTGACAAAGACTCTGATGGATAAGAGAGAGATTGAGGGCTAATTTTATAAGTGATCCATTAATTAGTAAATATTTTCAGGTTATGGAGACATTTGCTTCCTACACAGGATTCTGTTATTGTAGGCTTCAGATAAATGAATATAGCACTTGGGTATTAAGGGATTCCCTGTACTGTCTCCAGAATTCCCAAGTATCACTACAGTTTCTTACCCAGTTTGTACTCATCATTAAAACCTTGACGTCGTAAACGTCTAATCAGCTCCAGTTTAGCTAGATGTGGTCCTCGAAGATGACGAGAACTTTTAGATTCTTCTGTTATCCGATCTTCTATAAACTTCACAGCTTCTTCTGCAGAATAATGTACTTCTCCTTCTAAAGAGCTGGGTATAAACACATGAAAAAGGTATTTTGTGCCTCTACTGTCTATTCCAAAAGTTAAAGCTAAACTGATTTGAAGAAACAAATAAAAAATTAAGATAAAGCATTTTGATAATTATAAAACAACTAGAGGCCTGGTGCACGAATTTGTGCATGGGTGGGGTCTGGCCAGCCCGCCTCGATAGGGGCCAATGGGATGGGCTGGTTGGGGGGAGGGGACGTGGGAGGTTGGCTGGCCGGCCCCACCCCTGATGGGGGAGTGGGGGGGCTGATCAGAGGGCCGATCAGGAGAGGGCCGGCCGGGGGGAGGGGTTCTGGGCAGTTGGCAGGGCAACCCCCATCCCCTGGTTGTACTTTGGGTCAAACTCAGGGTCGAGGGGACAATTTGCATTATTATCCTTTTATTATATAGGATACAAATGGAATAAAAGAGCTGTAAGCATATTCTGGCAGATAACATGGCATATGATTACTCCCAATTGTGGCATTTGATTACTGCTGAATGATTAACCAACTCTACCTCTTTTTAAAAAAAAAAAAAAAAGAATGGATCATTTTTGCAATAAGTTTTACTTTAGCCCTAGCTGGTTTGGCTCAGTGGATAGAGCTGAGGCCTGTGGGCTGAAGGGTCCTGGGTTCGATTCCAATAAAGAGCATATGCCCAGGTTGTGAGCTCAATCCCCAATAGGGAATGTGCAGGAGGCAGCTGATCAATGATTCTCTCTCATCATTGATGTTTCTATCTCTCCCTCTCCTTCCCTCACTGAAATCAATTAAAAAATTTAAAAAAAATTTTTTTTTTACTTTATAATTTTACAAAATGGAAAAAAAAAATCCTACTTTTGCAAGTGATAAAATTATTAAGACAGGAAAAGAGAATTCAATTAGGCTTACAATGAAATTTTTTTGCTACAATATATTTAAAAATGCCATTGTAAAATAAAAGAAAAACATAGCAAAACAAAGCAACAACAACAAAAACAGTGCCACTGTAATTCAGGAAAGAAGACAACTTACTGTTCACCTTCAGCAGGAGGAGTCCAGGCTTCTTCAATCAGTCGAAAGACAGAATCGAAATAAGTCAGATAGAATTGCCAGTCATCTGAGCTAAAAATCAGATTGAATGGTACACACAGGATTAAACACAAGTTGTGACAAATCTGCGTTAGGAACCATGATATTCAACCTATTTCTAAGTTATACTTTAGTTCTTACTAGAAGCCCATCCTTCCCTCTGGGTTTCCCATACAGCCCCAAAATCACAGCACTCTAGAGGCGTTTTAAAAGTAAAAAACTTTTAAGATACTACTTTTTCCTTCAATAAAATCATCAGATCTAGAAAATTAATATTAACAGAAAACTCCCCACATTAGCACTTCCTAAATGGGGGAGAGGGAAAGGTTAGGCTAATATTGAATATTAAATTTGACAAATGATTTTCAGTGTTCATTTTAAAGACCTAATAACTCTTTACTGAAAGATGGTTCATCAAAAACCTTTTTTTTAAATTTTAAATTTTTCAGGACACACTTTATGCCCCAAAATCTCAAAAGACATAGACAAAACATCAATAATGACACCTGAAAACCCCATTCTAGTCATATAGTCCAAAAAGAAGCATCTACTCACTTTTTCAATAAGAGGCGCCGGGAAAGGGCATTGCACTCTGGCCACCTGCTCAGCTTCTTGTACATAGCCATGCATTTATTTTCCCGGCTCTGAATCTCACTAGTCAACTTCTCTACAATTAAAAGTTATAATAGTTGATAAGCTGGTTTCATTTTTGCTCAGAAACCAAAATAAAGTCCAAACACAAAAAGGAAAATAGCACATTTTCCCTCTCTCGGAAAACGGAGCCACCATTAGATACAAACTACTATCTTATTAAAAAACTAGAGGCCCAGTGCACAAAAATTTGTGCATTCGAGGAGTCCCTCAACCCGGCCTGTGTCCTCTCGCAGTCTGGGAACCCTCAGGGAAGGTCCAACTGATGGCTTAGGCCTGCACCATGCGGAGAGCAGGCCTAAGCCCACAGGTGGACATCCTTAGCGCTGCCGTGGAGGCAGGAGAGGCTCACACCAACACCGCTGTGCTCGCCAGCTGTGAGCCTGGCTTCTGGATGAGCGGAGCTTCCCCTGTGGGAGCACACTGACCAACAGGGGGCAGCTCCTGCATTGAGCATCTGCCCACCCTGGTGGTCAGTGCACATCATAGAGACCGGTCATTCTGCCATTCAGTCAATTTGCATATTAGCTTTTTATTATATAGGCTATTTTACTGAAGAGAAAAAAAGTACATTTCTGATAGTAAACTTTTACAATATTTTTTTTCTGTAAAAGACAAGGATCCAAAAAGATAGATAGATAGATATAAAAGACAGGATCCAGAATGTATTGAGTTGAGGCTCTAGTACGTGGGATACACATATAAAGTCCCAATAGAGCCAAAGCCGGTTTGGCTCAATGGATAGAGCGTCAGCCTGCGGACTGAAGGCTCCCAGGTTCGATTCCGGTCAAGGGCATGTACCTGGGTTGCGGGCACATCTCCCGGGGGAGATGTGCAGGAGGCAGCTGATCGATGTTTCTCTCTCATCGATGTTTCTAACTCTCTATCTCTTTCCCTTTCTCTCTGTAAAAAATCAATAAAATATATATTTAAAAAAAAAAAAAAAAAAAGTCCCAATAGAATCTCAGGACTGGTATATTTAGTCCACACACAGATTTCCCACCCATACAGTTCCAAAACATTGAATAAGCTTAGACTGGAATGGGATGAGCAAGGTGACAGAGATGTTAGGAGAAAGATAAAAAATGAACAGAGATGAATCAAACTCTTCTCCAACAGCTGAAAGGAGGAAAACTACGACTATATTTCTGACCAAATTAAATTTGCCCTATCCTTTTCTAACAGATTAGCAGATTAAGGATACTGACAATTACATTATGAATTTCCTATAGTCTAAATTTAAACTACAGGCAGAAATACAATCTAGATGAGTAGAAACAGAAAGGCTGACTTGTACCCATCTGCAAGGAGGCTGAAGGTAAGAGAGTAAGTAATGTTAAACACACACACACAACTCCTGCTACATCTATATATATAAAAGCCCAGTGACCTGAACAGCGGAACGACCAGAATGACTGGTGGCTATGATGCACACTGTGGTAGCCAACCAGCCTGATCTGGGCCCCAATCAGCCCCCCAGCAACCGCCCACAGCCCCTCACCCCCACTGGCCCAGTCCGATGGGCCCCCATCGGGGCAGGATGGCCAGACCCCACCCATGCACAAATTCGTGCACCAGGACTCTAGTTTTTACCCCAAAGACTGTAAAAGCACAATTTAAAAATCAGGTTTAGCCCTGCCAGTGTGGCTCAGTGGTCGTGCGTCGACCTATGAACCTGGCCAGGGTTCGATTCCCAGTCAGGGCGCGTGCCCAGATTATAGGCTCGATCCCCAGTAGTGGGTATCTCCCTCCCTCTCTGAAATCAATAAAAATATTTTTTAAAACAAACAAACAAAAAAACCAACCAGGTTTACTCAGGCAATAACTGCATTTCCAAGAATTTTTCCTAAGGAAATCATCACACATGTTTAAATAGTTAGGAAGCAAAAATCTTTGTCACTCCCTTGCCAGGTGGCTCAGTAGGTTGGAGCATTGTCCTGTAAATGAAAAGATTCAATTCCTGGCCAGGGCACATACCTGGGTTGCCGATTCATTCCCCAGTCAAAGTGTTTCTCTCTCACATCATTTTTTTAAAACAAATAAACAAAAACACTCACAGACGCAGACAACAATATGGTGATTACCAGAGAGAAAGGGCGGTGGGGGAAGGTAGAAAAGGATAAAAGGGGGATAAATGGAGATGGAAGGAGACTTGACTTGGGTGGGGTGGTGAACACACAATACAAAATAGAGATGATGTATTATAGAACTGTACACCTGAAATCTAAATATTTCATTAACCAATGTCACCCTAATAAATTCAATTAAAAATATACTTTAAAAATAAATAAATGTACGACACAGAAAAGTCTGGAAGAACATAAAATGATCATAAGTGACTTTTTTATGCCTTTATATCTTTCTGTTTCTCTATGAAAAAGAAATTTTCCACAATAAACATTTTTCATGTTTAAGCAGGAAAAAATACTTTAAAACTTTCAAAATTACCTCCTAATTTTCCTCTGATGACATCTAAGGCTTCCTGGTACTTTCCCAAACGCTCCAGGATCATATAATAAAGTTCAACCTTACAGAAAAACAAACAAGTGCAACCACTGAAACTTTTCAATAATAAAAAGACAGTCATGGAGATGTAAAGTACAGCACAGGGAATACAGTCAATAATACTGTAATAACTATGTATTGTGCCAGATGGTTATTAGACTTATCGGGGGGAGGGGGAATAACGTCATAAATTACATAAACATCTAACCACTATGCTGTACACCTGCAACGAATATAAGATACTGAATCTCAACTGTAATTAAAAAAGAAAAGTTATTTGTATGTTTTTAAAAAGTTATCTAATAGAAAAGAACACTATTCTCAAATGAGATGAAATTAACAGTAAGAATCAGACAACAGAGTCTTCCCTATCTATATACATCTCTGACTAGAGTACTTGCTGAAACAGCTCCATGTTCATTGTCTAAGCTTGGGTTTCCAAAGCTTCACATTTACACAAAGGGCAAGAGTGAAGACCCAGCTCTCTTAACTAGAATAAAACAACAGTTCTTAATATTATAATATTTATTGTAGCAATATCAAAATCATACAAATACAAAAGTAGGGCTTAAATTACTCACTTCAGCCTCTGCTTCTATCTTGTCCTCTTTCACCATTTTTTCTACCATTCTCTCAGCAAGGGGCAGAAACATTGTTTTTGAGAGGTTTTCATCCTGTGCTGATATAGACTAGAAGAGAAAATAATAAATGTTTCATGCTAATTTCTCCCTGCCTGCACTATTTATATTACCATGCAGACCATTACTATGACTCCAGCACATAATTATCATTATACTATGTCAAATATCAGGCCTAATTTGAACCTGCCAAAAAGATACACTAGAGTGGTTTGCTTTACAAGAGATTTCTTTATTAGAAATTCATTATCCTATGCAATCTTGAAATGCTGAGTTTCCACATGACCTAACTTTTAAATAGATTATTCAAACATTTTTCTAGAAATATGTTAAGAGGGAGTATGCCTATACTGTTTATTATATACAAAGAGTATCATCAAGTGTTTGAAAAGCCTTTCAGATGTTTTGAGATGTTCATACTTTGGAAGAGAAATGCCAATTGTTTATACAGCTTACTATTAGCTACAATTACCTGAGATTGGTAACTAAAATCAATGAATGATATTAATAATTTTAACACTGCCAGATTCTGCTCAGAGCTCATTTATCCCCTGTAAACAACCTTTCAGGGTAGCTATTATGCTTATTTTATAGATAAAATGATGAGATTCCCCACTGCACTCCAAGACATGAGGTGAAGCCAGTATTTGAACGCAGACTTGTCTAAACCCAGAGGCTCTCTGTTCTTAACTGCTCCATTTTAACTCCTACCTCCCCATCCTCTCCTACAACCTATCTCATTTCAGTCCTTACAGTAGCTCTGGGAGATAAGCATCTCCATTCTGTAAAAGAGCAAACCAAGGCTCAGAAAGCAAAAGTGATAAAACAAGGTCACCCAGTTCAATAACCTATGCACTAACCAACAGTATTGTCTTAAAGACAAACGTCAGGTCAAAATATCTAACATCTCAGAGTACATACTTGATCAAATAACCCAGTAATGGATCTCAGATTCAGGGGAAATACAGTCTGTGCTACACACAAATAAACCAATATACCAACTCATAAAGAATACCAAAACTCCCCAACTCAAAAAGTCAACTGACAATATGGAAAGTCCCTGTTTGAGACATGCTACAACACATGACTACCCCAGACGTTCACAGGATCCCTTAAGGACAGTAACTATATACAAATATAAAAACAAATCTCAATCCCATTAGAATGCCATACTCACTTGCATAATTAAGCTCATCACAGACCAAAAGTAGTAAGGGTTTTTGGGGACAATCTTATATAGAGTCATGCCAGCCTGAAAGACAGAGAGCCATAAATACTTAATTTAGAAAAGGTCATACAGAGGGCAGTTAATGATCTAGATATATGGCAAGATATCTAGGAGAATAACAACACGTTTACATATCCCAGTTCCTGTAAGTGCCGTGACTTGATGGATAGTATATTTTGGCTAGCAATATAGGTAATCACAAGTGTGAACTTTTACATCAGAATAGTTCACCTTTGAAACATATTTTCTCAAATTAAAACCCAGTATTTCTAGCGCTAGCTGGTTTAGCTCAGTGGATAGAGCGTTGGGACTGTGGGCTGGAAGGTCCCGGGTTTGATTCCAGTCAGGGGCACATGCTCGGGTTGCGGGCTCAATCCCCAGTAGGGGGCATGCAGGAGGGAGCTGATCGATCACACTCTCTCATCATTGATGCTTCTATCTCTCTCTCCTCTCCCTTCCTCTCTGAAATCAATAAAAATATATTTATAAAATAAATAAAGTAAAATAAAACCCAGTATTTCTAGAAAATACTGCAATACAACAAACATAGTCCAAATAGAATACCAAAGCAAACACAAAATTTGGGTTATGAATGTACATCAGTAAACAAACTTTACTAATGACAAGATACTAACCAGTTATAGTAAAACAAATAAACAAAGAAATCTAGACAGTATATTTAAAACTTAAAATTAGAAAAGATTACTGACATAATTGAAAAATTTCTTAGATCAGGAAAATAATCAGGTTCTTTGAAGACACCATTAATTAGAACTGAACCCTTTCATTGTGAAATATACAGTATACAAATACTGTACTTAAAAGCAGGGGCATAAAAAGAAAGAGCGCCTGGCCGGTGTGGCTCAGTGCTTAAACATTGATCTATAAACCAGGAGGTCTAGTTCATTCGATTCCCAAATGGGGCACATGCCTGGGTTGCTGGCTCAATCCCCAGTAGGGGGCATGCAGGAGGCAGCCAATCAATGATTCTCTCTGATCATTGATGTTTCTCTTTCTCTCTCTCTCCCTCTCACTTCCTCTCTGAAATCAAAATATATTTATAAAATAAATAAAGTATATTTATTTACTTTATTTATTTTAAAAAGAGCAAAATAGATCCATTAATATGTAACAGAAGATTTATCCATAATTAGCCAAGTAGTAATCAATGCTATGAACTCCATCAGCTAATAATCACAGTTACTTTCTTTTTTGTTTTGATCTTTTGCCTATCTTCAATCCACTTTAAAAATTTCATGGAGCTTCTATTAAGGAAATGCCTATTCCTGCCAAGGAAACAAAGATTGTGTCCCAGTCTCAAAGACACTTAAAAGCTAGGGAAATATAAGCCCTGGCCAGATAGCTCAGTTGGCTAGAGCATCATCCCAATACGCCAAGGTTGCTGGTTCAATCCCTGGTCAGGGCACATACAAGTAACAAGCAATGAACGCATAAACAAGCAGAAAAACAAATCAAATGTTTCTCCCTAAGGAAAAATAAAATCAACCAATGAATCATAAATAAGTGGAACAACAAATCAATGTTTCTCTCTCTCAAATTAATAAAAAAGTAAAATAAAAGCTAGGGCATTCAAAAGGAGTCTGAAGGAGTAAGGAACTAATGTGTATATATTTATACTCTTCTCAGAAGAAAGAGACCTCAAAGACACTGTGGAGGTAGAATGAAGATGACCTGGAGACAAAACAGATAGAGTAGAAGGAGAGTCCAAGATGGTTTGAGGTCCGTACTTCCAACACCAAACTCAGTAGGAATGGAATGTAAAGTGTTAATTGTACTTGATTATTTGGGGAAAGAAAACATTTTTTAAAAAATATTTTTTATTGATTTTTTACAGAGAGGAAGGGAGAGGGATAGAGAGTTAGAAACATCGATGAGAGAGAAACATCGATCAGCTGCCCCCTGCACACCTCCTACTGGGGATGCGCCCACAACCAAGGTACAGGCCCTTGACCGGAATCGAACCTGGGACCCTTCAGTCCGCAGGCCGACGCTCTATCCACTGAGCCAAACTGGTTAGGGCAAGAAAACATTTTTATAATGACACGCAAAAATAAAAAGAAATAGGATATAAAATATGAATTTTTAATATAAAAGACAAATTGTCATGTCCACACCCTATCTTACAGACACTGATATTCTGCTGATACACAAAACTTTTGAAGATAGACGAGTCTGAAAACCATGGCTATAAACTGGTGACTCAGAGAACCAAAATGTCATTTACAGAAAAAGGAAAGTCTAATCACAATGTGAATGACTAGAAACTCTTCATTCAAGGGGATTTTAAAAAGTACCTGCCAGAGATGTCACTGGGGAAGTAGAAGTTTTCTGATTCTCTGGCTTCCTCCCTTACCTCCACCAGTTTATGAAAATCATTTATTTATTTAACAAATATTAATTGTGCAGATGCTATTCGAGGAGCTGAGGATTCAGCAATAAACAAAACAGAAGCCCTCACCTGCATGAAGCATGACATTTAATTTGTAAAATACCTATTACCTTAGACTGACATACTGCTTTCAAAATAAACATACATATAAGCTAAAAAAACTGTAACTACCATAAATAGCAACACAGGTAGAATAAAAATTAAGCCTTCTATTCTAAAACATTTAACACTAGAGAACTCCATTCTTTCAATACATGAAACTAGAATAATGCAAAAGCACAATATAGGTAAAACATATTAAAGAACTGTAGTTGTAACCTGGGCAGGTAGCTCAGATGGTTAGAGCATAGTCCTGATATGCCAAGGTTGCATGTTCGATCCCCAGTCAGGGCACATACAAGAATTAACCAATGAATGCATAAATAAGTGGAAAAACAAATCGATCTTTCTCTCTTTCTCTCCAATCAATTTAAATAAATAAATAATTTTCCTAGACTCTGAAAATTTTTTAAAAATTAAAAAAGGAACTGTAATGTTAAGCCACATTGAAACAATATCTCCAAAAATCAAGATACAAAACTGCCTAACCAGGTGACTCAATTGGTTGAAGACTGTCCCATACACCAAACAGGTTGGGGTTTGATTTCCAGGCAAGGCACATGCCTAGGTTACAGGTTGGATTCCCCATCAGACATGTATGGGAAGCAACCCATTCGATGTTTCAGTCTCACATCGATGTGTCTCTCCTTCTTTCTTCCTCTCTCTCAATCAATAAAAACATGTTCTCAGGTGAGGATTAAAAAACACATACATATATATATATTTAAAAACTTAGGTAAGCACATAGAAAATAAATTTTAAGGATTTATATTAATATAGTATCTTCCACCCTCCCTGATTATTGTAACTTGATATTTAAAGAATAAAAGGTGGTTCTCAACCTTCCTAATGCCGCGACCCTTTAATACAGTTCCTCATGCTGTGGTGACCCCCAACCATAAAATTATTTTCGTTGCTACTTCATAACTATAATTTTGCTACTGTTATGAATCATAATGTAAATATCTGATATGCAGGATGTATTTTCATTGTTACAAATTGAACATAATTAAAGTATAGTGATTAATCAGAAAAAACAATATGTAATTATATATGTGTTTTCCGATGGTCTTAGGTGACCCCTGTGAAAGGGTTGTTCGACCCCCAAGGGGTTGCGACCCACAAGTTGAGAACCGCTGGAATAAAACAAACAAAAACAAGTAAGAAAGTTCTGCCTTCAGAAAACATTACACCCACAAACAAGGCATTTTTAAAAAAAATACTAGCTTGGAATAAAAAGTAAGGCATGTCAATTCATTAAATAAAAAAAGTACTAGCTTGACATCATAACTCTCTATGCATGGGTTTATCAGTGCAGGTCTCATTTCTCGGAGATGTCCGCTTTACCCATCATTAGTCCAAACGTGCACCAATGAGGCTCCTTCACAGGAATACAAGGAACACCTAAAATGTGCTAACTGGCAAAAAAAAAAAAAAAAAAAGAACAAGTATCCCAAGCAATGGGGATTCCCCTCACACCCCACCCCCCGTGGACTTAAAAATCTCATCAGGCTATAAATAATTACAAATTAGATGTAAACTTAAAAGTTACTCTTTCTATGATCTGTTCATTTTTTGCTCTGAGATTTCTGCCCATTTTCTGAAACTGTAACAGCAATCTGTTGCAGGCGAAGTTGAAGCCAACTTACCAAAACCAGACAAAACATATACCATCAGGCCACAAAAGAGGAACAACCAAATTTCCCCCAAAGAAAACATTTTTAAAACTTGAACAACAGCTTATTTTTAAAAAACACAAAGAAAATAATTGGCTGATCTCTACACACAAATACATAATTCAGTTCTACAGATACATGTAACTGTGCACATGTGCATGTACACACACCACTGCAGTTAAATCACATTAAAGAGACTTTGATCCCTAATAGTAAATCCCGCAGCCCAGGATGTCTGCAGATCAAGTTACCTGTTGCATTTTCTTGTATTCGCCCACTCTGGCATAGGCCATGAAGAGGTGAGAGTGATATTCCTCACTACTAGGAACTTTCTTCACAGCTGCCTCATAAAGTTTTGTAACTAACTCCGCTAAGACAAAGAGAAATAAGATTTTCTTTCATTACTGAAGTATAACTTAAATCTTAACAGCATTTAATTTTTTAGATTAAGTTCAACATTGAGCAAAACTAATCATTCATTACTCAGAAAAACAAATGTGGTAAAAAGTTAAGGAAAAGCAAGAGAGTAAAAAATATTTAGGACAGCAAGTATCTCCTGGAAGATAAACGGGGACATGAGATTGATGAGGAACACACAGGAAGTATTCTTAGTATTGATAATACTCTATTTCTATAAAGTTGAGCAGTAAGTTCATTATTCCACATCAAACTGTTTAGTGTTATATCAAATATATTCTTCTATAATATGTATTAAGAAAAACAATTATTATTTCACAATAAAATATTCAAGAAATCAACAATTAAAAGCTTTCTTACAGATGAAATGGCAGATCTTCTAGAATATGCTTAGAAAGAATTTAGCAAGGGGAGGAGTATAGATAAAATTGATCATGTATAAGTTATTACGGAAGATGGGTAATTAATACAATGGGATTTATTATGCCACTCTCTGGTTTTGTCTATATTTGAATTTTTATATATTAGAAAGTGAAAAAAGTGGCCTAGGCAGTGTGGCTCAGTTGGTTGGGCATCGTCCTGTGCGTGGGGGATGGGATTGCCAGTTAGATTCCTGGTCAAGGAGCATGCCCAGATTTCAGGCTTGATCCCCAGCAGGGAGCATGAAGGGGGCAGCCAATGGATGTTACACTCTCAGATGAATGTTTCTCTCCCTTCCTGTCAAAAAAACAAACAAATAAACAATAAAAATATATATATATTTTTTTTTTAAAAAGCGACCCCAGCCAACGTGACTCAGTGGATGAGTGTCGACCTATGAACCAGGAGGTCATGGTTCGATTCCTGGTCAGGGTCAGGGCACATGCCCAGGATACAAACTCAATCCCCAGTGTGGGGTGGGCAGGAGGCAGCTGATCAATGATTCTCTCTATCATTGATGTTTCTATCTCTCTCTCCCTCTTCCTTCCTCCCTGAAATCAATAAAAAGATATTAAAATTTTTTATTTAAAAAAAGGGTGATAAAAGGGTAACTCTCCCACTTAGCAAATCGTAATGCCACAAATAAAACTCAAGTCCTCATTTCAATTCAAGGATCCTAATATACTGGAAAAAATTTCTGTCTACAGTCTTCAGAAATCATGGTTAATGCATTATTTTACCTTTGCCATCCACTCAAATCATGAGTGAGAAGCAAATCAGGCAAATAGAGAACTCAATCAGAAATAACCAAAAACTTAAGCTCAGGTTTAACACCAAGGAAAAGAAAGAAACTTACGACGATGCATCTCCCGGTAAAGAATAGTCAGTGCCTGCAGCGAGTTATCATCTGTGGGTTCAAGGGCTGCCACCTCCTGTGCCAAGGTAAAGGCTTCCTCTTGCTTCCCAGTTCTCTGTAATCCAATGGCCTTTAACACCTGACAGAGAGAAAAGACAAATCAGGTTGAAAAGGAATGAAAAGGAACCATAGAAAGCCAATTTGAAACCACAAGATGTAAGGTATATCTAGACTGTTAATCAACTAAACCATTTTACTAAAAAATGAACAGATCAAGATTCTTTCCTAGCACTAGCCAGTTTGGCTCAGTGGATGGAGCGTCGGCCTGCGGACTGAAGGGTCCCAGGTTCGATTCCGGTCAGGGGCATGTACCTTGGTTGCGGGCACATCCCCAGTAGGAGGTGTGCAGGGGGCAGCTGATTGATGTTTCTCTCTCATCAATGTTTCTAACTCTCTATCCCCCTCCCTTCCTCTCTGTAAAAAATCAATAAAATATTTAAAAAAAAAAAAAGATTCTTTCCTATTTCAGCCATGTTAAGAATGCAAGCCCTGCCCTGGCCAGGAGGCCCAGTTGGACAGACGTCATTCCGATAGGCCAAGGTTTTGGGTTAATCCCTAGTAGGTGAACATACAAGAGGCAACTAATGAATGCATGAATAGGTTGAACAACGAATCAATGTTTCTCTTTCTCTCTCAAAAAGCAGTAAGTATGTCCTCGGAAGAAGAATAAAGAAAAGAGAGCCCTAGTCAGTTTGGCTCAGGGATAGAGCGTCGGCCTGCGGACAGAAGGGTCCCGGATTCGATTCTGGTCAAGGGCACATACCTTGGTTGCAGGCTCCTCCTGGGCCCTGGCCCTGGTTGGGGCAGGTGTAGGAGGCAACCAATCAATGTGTCTCTCTCACATCGATACTTCTATTTTCCCTCTCTCTAAAAACTCAATGGAAAAAAATCAATGGAAAAGAGAGAGAGAGAGAGCAAAACATCGCTTAAAAGACTGTGAAAATAATTAGATAAGTTATGTTCAAACTACTCATGGCATTTAAGTGATCAAGAAAATATTCTGAAAATTACTAAAGAGATTAAATATCTTTCTCACTTAAAGTCAAAAATACAATATATAACACAACAAATGTTAAGTTCAAGGGCAAATGAACTTACCTTAGCACAATGAAGATCCTTATGTTTCTTCAATAATTTATCTGCTTGTTGAATTGCCATTTTATTATTACCATTATCAAGATAATCTATAAAAACAGAAATTATGATAGTTTATTCCTGCAACAACAAATATGAAAAATGCATAGGCTGGTATCAAATGTTTCAGAAAGTATAATAATTCCGTATTAAAAACATCATGGAAAAACATACACACATTCATGGAGCTCTGGCCAGATAGCTCAGTTGGTTAGAGCTGCATCCCCATATGCCAAGGTTGTGGGATCGATTCCCAGTCAAGGCACATACAAGAATCAACCAATGGCCCTGGCAGGTATGGCTCAGTTGGTTGAGCCTCATCCCCTGCACCGAGGCCACCATTCAATTCCCAATCAGGACACATGCCAAGGTTTCAGGCTTAATCCCCAGTGGGGAGGCATGTAGGAGGCAGCCAACTGATAGTTCTCTCTCTTCCTTTCCCTTCCTCTCTCTCTAAAACCAATAAAAACAAACATCATAGAGCTCATTTTCACTCTAAATGACTAAGATGGTCCAAAATACCACTTTATATCCCTACAGCCATCTCTCATCCAAAAGCACTATAATCAGCTCTATTAGTCCTTAATGAAGATTCAAACATATTTATATGATAGATGACGTTAATATTTTTACCTATGATAAACAGGTTTAGTCACCCAAAAATTAAATTTTTTTTTAAAAAAATAACCCTTTCTTAGTACCCAAGCTTTAAATTTTACCAAATAGACAATGTTCCTTGAATAAAATGTTTAATGAGTTATACTTACTTTACCACAAAGTATAATTCTCTGAATTAGAAAATAAGATAAAGTTTTACCTATGGGAGGTGGGGGAAAATGGAAGAGAGAAAGTCCAATAATACCAAGAGTGGGCAAGGATGCAGGAAGAAAGCACTTTCAAATACTGGTTGAAACTGAAACTAGCAATGACTTTGAAGAACAACTAACGTCTAGTTTCCATAAGCTATGTATCCATTCCTAATCTTAAGGAATAAGGGGACCCATTATAAAATTGTGCTAAGGGGAAAAGAGCAATCTGTTATTATTCAAAAGTCTAACAAAAGCAAGATTTATTTCCAGATGAGATGTACAAGAAAATGAGAGATATTTTAAATGGGAAATGGTAGCTGTCAATTCTAAGTATAGAATAACTAAACACAGGCCAACCACAACCTACTATACTAATTTCAGATCCCTCTTTGCATATCAAGGTCCCATATCAGCATAGAGGCAGAGGATGAGGCATAAATAACTCAAAATAACCTATTTTGCAACAATGAGAGAGCAAGAACAACTCTCATTCATTGCTGGTGGGAATGCAAACTGGTACAGCCACTTTGAAAGACAGTTTGGTTGTTTATTTAAAAAGCGAACATGCTCTTACCACATGATCCAACAACTGTGCTCCTTGGTATCGACCCAAATAAGCTGAAAACTTACTTCCACACAAAAACCTGGACACAATGTTTAGAGCAGCTTTATTCATAATTATTAAAACTTAGAAGCAACCAAGATGCCCTAAAATAGGCTAATGGATAAACAAACGGAGGACCGTCCATATGATGTAATATTACTTGGCAATAAAAGAAAATGAGCTATCAAGTCACATGAAAAACATGGAGGAAGCTTAAATGCATATTGCTAAGTGTTTTAAAAAAGCCAATGTGGCCCTGGCCAGGTAGCTCAGTTGGTTGGACTATTGTCCCAATACACCAGGGTTACAGGTTCAATCCCCAGTAGAAGGCACATAAAATAATCTACCAAAATAGGCATAAATAAGTGGAACAACAAATTGGTGTTTCTCTCTCTCTCTCAAATCAATAAATTTTTTATGTATTTTTATTGATTTCAGGGAGGAAGGGAGAGGGGGAGAGGGATAGAAACATCAATGATGAGAGAGAATCATTGATCGGCTGCCTCCTGCACGTCCCCTACTGGGGATCGGGCCCACAACCCAAGCATGTGCCCTTGACCAGAATCGAACCCAGGACCCTTCAGTTGACAGGCAGATGCTCTAACCACTGAGCACACCAGCTAGGGCAATAAATGAAAATTTTAAAGGCCAATCTGTAAAGCCACATACTATATAATTCCAACTATGTGACATTCTGGAAAAGGCAAAAATTAACACAATGAGTGGTTGCCAGGGACTGAAGGAGGAATGAATATGTGGAGCACAGGGGATATTTAAGACAGTGACACTATTCTGTATGATACTGTGATGATGGATACATGTCATCATACATTTGCCAAAACCCATAAAATGTACAACACAAAGAATGAACCACAGCCCAGCTGGCGTGGTTCAGTGGTTGAGCGTCAATCTATGAACCAGGAGGTCACGGTTCGATTCCTGATCAGGCACATGCCCAGGTTGTGGGCTTGATCCCCAGTATGGGGGCATGCAGGAGGCAGCCAATCAATTATTCTCTCTTATCATTTATGTTTCTCTCTTTCTCCCTTCCTCTCTGAAATAAATATCCTATATAATAAAACCCTAATATGAAAAAATACCCTAATATGCAAATCGACCAAAAGGCAGAAGGGCTGGTGGAACGACTGGTCCCTATGACATGCACTGACCACCAGAGGGCAGGCGCTCAACACAGGAGCTGCCCCCTGGTGGTCAGTGTGCTCCCACAGGGGGAGTGCCACTGCTGGCAAGCATAGCGGTGGTGGGAGCCTCTCCTGCCTCCGCTGCAGGCGGACGGTAAGAAGCGAGGGGTCCCGGACTGCGAGAGGGTGCAGGCCAAGCTGAGGGGACCCCCACCCTACCCCCTATACACAATTTTTGTGCACCGGGCCTCTAATATACATATATATGAAAGAATGAACCATGATGTAAACTAGTAAACTATGTACTTTAATTATTAATAAGCTATTGGCTCAGCTACTTTAACAAATATACCACATTAATACAAGATGTTAATAACCCTGGTATATTGGTAGAGGGGAAGTTGTGGGGATATATAGGAACTCTCTACTTTCTGCTCATTTCCTGTAAACCTAAAACTGCTCTAAAAAATAGTTTATTGCCCTGGCCGGTTTGGCTTAGTGGATAGAGCATTGGCCTGTGGACTGAAGGGTCCCAGGTTCGATTCCGGTCAAGGGCACATGCCCGGGATGCAGGCTTGATCCCAGTGTGGAGCATGCAGGAGGCAGCCCATCAATGATTCTCTGTCAACACTGATGTTTCTCTTTCTCTTTCTCTCTCTCTCTCTCTCTCTCTCTCTCTCTCTCTCTCTCTCTCTCCCTTTCGCTCTGAAATCACTAAAAATATTTTTTTAAAGTTTATTAATAAAAAATAAATTTAATAATAATAATAAAGTTCAAAATAATAAAAAGCAAAGATTCATTTCTAGAGCAGGAAAATGAGAAATGTTATAAGTAGGATAGAGGGTGGTAGTTATCAATTCTAAATATAGAAAGATAACTGGACACAGACCAGTTTTTAATCTATTACCACTATTCACTGTTCATCAAAGCAGGTCCCAAATCAGCATAGGGATAGAGCAGGCATGCTGGGGTCCAACCCCAGCAGGTCCAGGGGTCCCCAAAGGTGTGGATGGAGTCGGCGAAGAAGGAATGACACGGAGACAGTGTTCAGTTGATCAGCAGCCTAGCCAGGATCTCCAGCCAGGATCTCCAGCCAAGTTCTGGTCTGGATCTCCAGAGAGGTTCTGGTTAGGATCTCCAGCCAGGTTCTGTGTCCATGTTCTCTTGCTAGGTTCTCCAGGTTCTCCAGCCAGGTTCTGTAGCCATGTTCCCTCGCTAGGTTCTCCAGCCAGGTTCTGTCCAGGTTCTCCAGCCAGGTTCAGTTACCAGGTTCTAGTCAGGTTCTCTTGCCAATTTCTGTAGTCAGGTTCAGTCCAGGATCTTTTGCCATGTTCTCTCGCTAGGTTCTGTCTCTAGGTTCTGAGGCCAGTTTCTGTCCAGGATCTTTTGCCATGTTCTCTCCAGCGAAGTTCTTCTGTCTCTAGAGAACGTTCTGTGTAGGTTCTGTGCCTAGGTTCTGTCTCCTAAGTTCTGTGTGTCTGTTCTGTGTTGTTACATCTGTATTTATACCAGTTGATTCCAATCCTATCAATCTCTATTCCAAAGGTTAGGGCGTTTCTTATCTCCATTCCAGGGAGTAAAGATTATGTAGCTTAAGCATGATTGTTCGTAGTTAAAGTGATTAATTACCCGCCTGGCACTTAGTTAAGAGGTTTTATTCCCTCCCTAACTTCAGGGGAAAATCCCTACCTGGGGAAACAACCTTTCTCAGAGACCTTGGTTAAAACACATAGTGCCAAGAAGGTGAGCAAACATATTAAGAACAGTATGCCATATATGCCAGGTCCCTTGAAACAGCAAGCATGGACCGGCTCCCGGCACAGGCATAGACAACTCAAAATAATCTATAGTCGTGGTGGCCTAGAGTGCTCTGAATAACAGAAATAGACTATCATTTTACCTAATGGTTTCAATTTTTCTCCAATAAATATATTACTAAAACCTTTGACAGCCACATAAATACATGAGTTTCATCTCTTTAGTCCTCAATGCACTTAATATTGGTGAGCACTAATAATGCTAGGTAAGAAGATTAAAAAGAAGCCTTACTCTGGAGGAAATCACAATGTAGGAAAAAGAAGTCAAAAAGAGTCTTATTGTGAATGGAATCACAACCTATAAAGGAAGATCAAAGACTAATAGGTAGAGAGATTGGAGAATCAAAGAACTCTAAAAGCATACAATCTTGGCCTGAATACCCAGCATGTAATACCAGTTTTCTTAAATCCTTAGCTCAGCTAATAAGCCTTCATTTGTCCTTTACAAAATATGACAGAGATAAACTTCAGCTCAATAAATGACAGTTCTTCCTAAATACTTGATGCTGACCTCATGCCGAGTCAGTTCTAAGTTACTCCTGACTCAGTCCTAAAAGATCCAGGTTTACAGAACATATCCTGAAGCCTTCTCAAAGAGTAGACATCTTTGATGAGACGCCATATCTGAGATCTGCTCATAAATGGATCAAGCCAGAGTCAGGACTATAAGGACTATAA